GCAAAATGGAGGTGGTGGGGGGCAGATGAAATCGGCCCGCGGGCTGGATGCAGCCGCAGGTTGCCAGGTGGACCACCCTCCAGCACTGTGAGCTTAAGATCCCAACATGAGGCTTGAACCATCAACCTCTGACTCAGTGGCGAGGGTGCTATGAACTGAGCCAGGCTGACTCATCAGTTTATTAGAATGCAGTAGTTTTTATTTCCAGAGCTCCTAAACATCATCCTCATTTTACAAGTAATGATCTGTGCCTTTGTTGGTTATGCGATCGATATCATACATGTGGGAAATACAAAACATCCTCACAAATGAAATAATACTCCAATTGTCTGCTGAAATGTCCAGTGATCCATATTTCATTGAAAAATGTGCTTGTATTTATATCAGGAACGGTGAAAGGCTGTCATAACTCATTCACACTTGATGTCATGGGTATTTCCCTCTAAAGAGAATTGCTGCAATATGTCAGCAGTGATATATTCTCTATATATGTATTAAACTTGCTGTGAAGACCTACTTTATGCCTTAAAGAAGTCCACAATAACGGCAACAACTTGCACTTATATAGCAGGGTAGCGTCTCAAGAGCACTTAACAGTGGCGGAGTCTGACTCCGAGCAGGGGGGAGGTGACCATAAGCACGGTTGAAGAGGAAAGTTTTCAAGTGGGACTTGAAAGAGTGGAGCGAGGGGGCAAGGCGGAGGGATTGAAGGAGAGTATTCCAGAGTTTTGGGGCGTAGTGGCTGAAAGCACGACCTCCGATGGTGGGACAGAGGGTGTGAGGGACGGGCAGGCCGGTGCCAGTCGAGCGGAGGCGCCAGGTGGTGGATTGGGGAGTGAGGAGGTCGGAGAGGTAGGGAGGTGCCAGGGAGTGAATGGATTTGAACATGAATGTGAGGATCTTGAAGTCGATCCATTCGACGATGGGGAGCCAGTGGAGCCTGGCCAGAACTGGTGAGACATGGGTATGGAGTTTGCCCGGGTCAGTATGCAGGCGGCAGTTTTGAATGAGCTGGATCTTGTGAATGGTTAGCTGGGAAGACCAGCGAGGAGTGCGTTAAGAGTAATCCAAGCAGGAGGTCAAAAGCGAAATCCAGGCTCGGTTATTCCAATGCTCATCCCCAGCTTCTCCCAACACAAGCTGCAGACAATCTAGATCTATGTAGCCTTTGTCCTCTAACCCCCACCAGGGTCCACAAGATCATCATCTCGATCCTCGCTCGGCTCCATTGGCGTCCCGTTCCATCAAATTAAAGATCGTCATTATCAAATCCATGGCTAAACCCCATCTGACCTTGGTGACCCGATCGCCCCACCCATTCCTTCTACTCAATAAACATTTACTTGCTTCATGCCCCCACCCACCCTGCGCTACGCGCCATTCTGCCCCCTTGTCTAGTTTGCCAGTTTTGGGTCCACTACAGACCTAGGATTGATGCAAAGAGTATCTATCTGTAAAGTTACATTATGGATATTAAGTGTCTGATGTTGAAACACAACCCCAATGTGCTAATCCACTGCAAGTTGAAACATTGGAATCCAAATTTTAAGGCAATATTCTGTAATTAGCCACAAATACTTAGGCCATAATCCCACCATCTGTGTGCAAGAGGCTTCATATTACCAGCCCAAGTAAAATGCTTCAGCATAAGTGTTGGGCCCAAAGATTCAATCATCTTCTTCAGATGAACAATGACGAGTCAGACTGTCAGACCGAGTCTCTCATATCAGCTAGAATCAAAAGCTACAAATGTTATGGGTATTTGTCCAAAACAAACTTCAACCGCTCCTTCGGTCATCTTTCCACTAGCTCCCAGCTCAGGTGCAAACCCTTCACTGTCCATGCCTGCTCCTGATGTGAAAGGCGCTAGATAAATGCAATTTGTTGTTATGTTCTTTTGAAACAAAAATAAAAATGAGATGCAGTAACAAACAGGAAAACAGTTTCTTGCACAATGAATTAATGAATGAAACATGAATACATTTAGATGATAGAGCACCATGCAGAAGATCCAAATATGTATTCTTTATCAGTGCTCCCAGCAAGAAATTAGAAAACAATTTGATCAACAATGCTCCTTCCACAACCATAGACAGTTCAGTGTAACCCATCTTTCAGATTCTACCTTGCTTATTTTATTCTCCCCAACCCCCACACAGACAGTCAAACAAAACAGTCTGATACACATGCACATATACTTACACCTCGATTTTCCAAAATCCTGGCTGGTTGTTTTCCCACTACTGATATTTTCATGCTCCAAGGAATAATTCACTTTGATACAATACAAAATTACATTTGTAAAGCACCTTTCATGTCCAGAGGACGTCCCAAGGCATAGAACAGTCCGGGATTAGGGCCCAAGCTGGGGAGGGGGGCTAGGATCAGGGTGGGTGGAAGTTAGAGAGAGTAGGAGGGCAGCTGAAGGCACAGTCGAAGAGGAGGGTCTTGAGATGTGCCTTGAAAGAGGCAAGGGAGTGTGGGGGAGGCGAAGTGAATGTGGGGGAAGAGTCGGGAAGACTGACAAGCAGGGCCTTGGCATAGTCGAGCCTGGTTGTAATGAAGGCATGCACAAGGGTTTTAGCGGCCTGAAGGATGAGGCAGTGGTGAAGTCGGGCAATGTTGCAGAGGTGGAGGAAGACAGAGCGGGTCATGGCACGGATGTGGGTAAGAAAAGCAGTTGAGGGTCGAACAAGACGCCTAGGTTCCTGACTGGCTTGGTGAGGTGGAATGTGCTCCATAGATGCTGATGCTATGGAGTTATTTATATTATAAAAAACAATATTATTATAAAAAATAATAAATTTGTCATTTCAATCCACGACTGTCTGTAGGACACTGCTGTGCACAGTTGGCTGCCGCATTTCGCCCACAAATATAATCAATTCACTTTACAGTCTATTCTGTGAAGCGCTTTGAGGCGTCTAGAAGACGTGAAAAGCGCTACATCAAATGTAAGGATTATTATATTATTATTATATGCTGTGAGTTCCTGAGGTGAGGAGATGCTGTCGGGAGCCAATCAGGAGAGCCTCGGTCTTGCTGACATTCAACTGTAGAAAGTTGGCTCTCATCCAGAACTTGATGTCTGACAGGCAGTCTGTCAGGACAGCAGTGGTCCTGGAGTCAAAAGTGGAGGCAGAGAGATACAGTTGGGTGTCATCTGCGTACATGTGAAAGTTGACCCCATGCCTGCGGAAGATGTCAACAAGAGGAAGCATGTACAGGTTGAAGAGGAGAGGACCAAGGACACAGCCCTGAGGAACACCGCACAAGATGGTGCAGGGGCTGGAGGAGAAGCTGTTTGTGGAGACAAAATGGAGCCGGTGTGAGAGATAGGATCTGAACCATTCAAGAACAGAATCTTGATGGTTAAGGTTAGATGAGAGGTGGTGGAGGAGGATAGAGTGGTTCACAGTGTCAAAGGCAGCAGAGAGGTCAAGGAGACAGAGGGAGCCCTAGTCACAGATGGACAGAATGTCATTTTTCACCTTGACTAGGAGATAAATCTATGCGACTTATCTATCCGCCTTATCTATGCAGTCGAACCAATATAACACCGTACATGACCCCCAAAAAGATTTCCAACTTCACCACACAATTTTTGCAGTTTTAGTGTAATCTTAATATATAAACTGACCTGTATAATGAACAGCATTTTGTGTTTGATGGCAGTCAAATTACATACACAAGACAAAAGAGTGAAGTTTGAAGCAGAATTTGACCAGAGCTCATGCAAACAATTTTGTTTTTAAAGAATATTTGGGCACTGATCAACACTGATGTCTTTTCACATGTCTGAGTAAAAAGACATTTGTTTCACATGCTGATATTACACACACTGAAAAACAATTCCATGCATTTACATTTTTGTACAGTCTTCGATAGAATACCGACATGCCTGCACAAGCTAACCATTCACAGCGATGAATTTTTCCACTTATGCTTTTAATAGTACCAAGTCATAACATCCTCAGCACTAAACACCTGCTTTGTTGACAAGCACCACATTCTATCAATTTTTCTATTTTTTAAAAAAAGCCCCCAAAAAGTAGAGTGCATCGATTCAGATCGCTTTACAATTTCTTTTTAGAAAGGTAACTGAAAATATTCACGCAGTGATGCCTTTGGTTTCAACAGTATTTTGTACAGCAAACAGCTTTGCTAATTCTACAGAACTACTGAATTGCATCAAGTCATTGCTGGGCTGTAGAAATAAACAACTGCAATATTTTTGTACCATCTTACGGTTAATTTACAAAAAGAAACCAATGCCCTTAATCACTAATAAAGCAGTCGGCTATCTCCGTAGAGTTCAAAACTGTAAAGCTAGGTCAAGCATAGCAATTACAAATGATCTTAAGGAAAGCCATCAACAGATCAAAGGTGTAACTACCACCATTTTTAATATGAATATCAGTACTACTTTAAGGTATCAAAATCTGCACAGCTAAAAGTCTAATGAAATGAAACATTGACTTGACTTACTTTCTGTACGTAGTTAATATTTTTCCATAGCTTTCCAGATTGTAATAATATGTGCATTTGATGTAGCGCCTTATCACGTTGTTGAGAGGTCTCAAAGCACCTCACAGAATATACTGTAAAGTGAATTGACTGTATATTTTGTGGGCAAGACGAGGGAGCTAATGGAGCACAGCAGTGTTCCACAAACAGTCATTGATTAAGTGACCAAATTATTATTATTTTTTGGAAGGGATTATTACCCCCAGAAAAGAGATCCGCCAATTGACTAACAACTGGGTTCCTACTTACTGCTGGGTAAATAGAGGCATGTGGAGGTAAGAAATTTGTCCAAGGTTTTGCCCTGCCTGAGAATCGAACCTGGGTCCTCTTCCTTGCGAGGCAAATGCTCTAACCAGTATGCCACTGGACGACCTCTGTGGAACATCAAAATCTCTTAATTTGTGGCAGCGACTCATATTCACAACGTACACTTCACCTCCCAAATGGAAATCTCTCTCCAGTGACTCAAATAGTTAACTTTGTAAAACAAAATAATTTTAATCTGATTAGGCCCAAATGTTGGTACAGATCAATATTACAGAAATAAAAATTAACAAGGAAAATAAAGAAATATTATTGCAGGCATTTTTAACGATATGTCAAGTGCATTTCAAGCAGAGACTAACAGCAAAGAGGCTCCTTCTCATTAACCAATCACATACCACAATAGCTGACGCATGATCTAATTCTGTAGAGAACCACAATTCAGGGAGATTTATCCTTCAAAATACACATTAAGTTTTTTTTCTCTTTTCACTATAACAAGGCAAGCTCAGTTACAGAATTTTATTGATACAGTAGATGATACAAATTTGACGGGGAGGCAACTAGAGTAAAAGTGTACAACTGTTAATGTCTAACACACCAGCAGTATTAAAATATTTTAACTAAAACCATTTTTTTTGAATTTTAGCCAAGAGTCCAGATGATTCTGGTATCAATACTGACAAGTGAAGTGCATTTTCAGCTGACTTCACATTTTATACAACAGAAGATTTTCTGTCTAACATCTTCAGTGGTAGAAAGCAGAAGCGCTAGGGCAGAGTACAGTAACAAATATCTTCAAGTGAAACAAAAGGAGATTTAGAAGAGGTTACTTTCAACAAATTAACCACAGAAGTATGTGATGCAGCAAAATGCAATAATCCATTTTTNCTCTCCTTGAACTAGTTTCCTCTCTGTAACAGGATGCCACAGAAGGTACAAATATTAACAAGGCTTAAGTATTGCTTAAGTTGTTGACGTTCATTATAACCAACTTTCCTCACCCCACACAGTTAATACACAGTTGTGTGTTGGCGTTTTAAAGCTGTAATTTAAAAGCTATACAAGCACATTTTAAATCAAAACATAAAAAAAATATTTACAATTTTATTTATTTCCATCTCTCTGTAAAGCTAGTACATTGTAGTCAGCATACATCAAAATGTACGACAACCCACAGTTTATGAATTAATGAGTTTGCCAAAAGCTTGTGGACTGGGGACTGCAAATGCATGGGTAGTAAATGCAAGATGCTTTCTTTAAGAACCAGTTGGACAGTGCCCTTTAGCCTTGAGCTTTACAGTAAAACAATTACCAGGTGTCTAATGCCCACATCAGATCACATTTACTTTTCATCTTCTTTCTCTCTTGTTGGGCTTGCGCCGCACCTGTTAAGAAACAAGTAGTTTAGAAGCAACTTGGCTTTTGAGAGATTGTGTGCAAAATTTGTGAGCTGGACATAACCGTGTGTAGGGAATGAATTTAAATCATGAAATTAACTACCTATCAAAAAAATTCATATCATTTTGCAAGAGGCCAATTATGTGAAAATCCATGTTTTCCATTAATCCAACCCTCAGTTGTTAAACTAACCCGCAAATTAATCTCCAACATGGTCTTTAAACTTGCTAGACAGTTTCTTAGCCAATATCTGGTGGGAATGAAGAATATTCTTCACGAAAATGAGCAGAATGAGCAAAGCAACCCAAACCATTATCAAATAATAAGAGCCAGTTATGTTGTGGATGATCTAATATCCTATTTCAGCATCCAGCTGTTTCTTAAGTGAATCCAAGTGTCCTGGCCTGAACCATGTTTCACTTTAAGTGGTGCCATGGAATTTTTAACATCCATCTAACGTTGATTATCCTCTGTAACAATAATTGGTTTATTTTTCTTCTCACTTCACTTCCCACTCGTAAGATTGACAAACAATTATTTAAAAATGTACAATCTACAGGTTTCATTCAAGGCATGTAAACAATAACAACAAAATTACATTTGTATAGCGTCCTTCACATTGGGAGGACATCCTAAGGCGCTGGACAGTCAGTGTTTCAGATCCGAGCTGCGGGTCAGGATTGGGGAGGATGGAGGGCAGGGGGGGGAGGAAGCACGATCAAAGAGAAGGGTCTTGAAGGTGGCAAGGGAGGGGGCGAGGTGGAAGGAAAACTGGATGGAGTTCCAGAGGGTGGGGGCAGAGTGGCGTGCATGAGAGTTTCAGCGGCCTGCGGTGTGAGACAATGGCAGAGCCGGGCGATGTTGTGGAGCTAAAGGAAGGCAGAGCAGGTCATGGCACGGATGTGGGGTAGAAAAGATAGTTGAAGGTCAAACAAAACGCCAAGGTTCCAGACTGGCTCAGTAAGGTGGAGTGTGCATCCACGGATGGCGATGCTGTCAGTGCCTGGGGTGTGGAGGCGCTGATGCGAGCCAACAGGAGAGCCTTGCTGACGTTCAAATGAAGATAGTTAGCTCTCATCCAGGACTTGATGTCCGATAGACATTCAGTCAGGACAGCAGTGGTCCTGGAGTCAAGGGTGGAGGCAGAGAGAATTAGTTGGGTGTCATCCACATACATGTGGAAGTTGACCCCATGTCTGCGGATGATGTCACCAAGAGGGAACAGATAGATATTGAAGAGAAGGGGACCAAGCCACCCTGAGGAACGCCACACAAGACAGTGCGGGAGCTAGAGGAGAAACCGTTTGTGGAGATGAAGTGGAGGCGATGTGAGAAGTACGATCTGAACAGTCAAGGACAGAGCCGTGAAGTTTGAGGTGAGAGAGGCAATGGATGAGGATAGAGTGGTCAATAGTGTCGAAGGCAGCAGAGAGGTCAAGGAGGACAATAAGGCAGAGGGAGCTCTTGTCAGATGGACAGAATGTCATTTGTCACTTTGACCAGGGCTGTTTCTGTGCTGTGGGCAACAACAACAACAAAATTACATTTATAGAGCGCCTTTTACGCAGGGAGGACATCCCAAGGCGCTGGAATCAGGGGTCAGGATGGAAACCCAATTGGAGGGGTGTGTGAAGGGAGTGGGTGGGAGCGGAAGGAGTGAAGCTGGGGAGCAACAACTCATTACAGATCCAGTAAAAACCAAAGTTATGTAATGCAGACTTAACCATACCTTCAGTGTACTTGATTCATTATCCTCCTCCATGGTCACACCATCCACTGAATGTTCTTGGGAAATATCCATGTTCCCTGGTGAACCTTTGTGATGTGAATTATTTTCTCTACCGGCTGCTTGCCTTGTTCTTCCACCACGGCTGTAAGACAGGTATAAATGTGAGCTGAACAAAATGGGTGAATGAACTGTGATATAATAACAATAATCGCTGCATTTGACATCATCCCAAAGAGCTTCACAGGATTTACTGTGAAGTAGAGTGACTGTTTATTTGTAGGCATACATGGCAGCTCAAATACGCACAACAATATACCACAAACTGCCATGAAATGAATGACCAATTTTATTAGGGAGATTGTTGGCCAGGACACAGAGGGAAACTACCTTCTCTTTTCAAGTAGTTACATAAGATCTTTAACGTCCACCTAAACAGGCACACAGGGCCTCAGTTTAACGTCTCCGAAGGATGGCACCTCCAATAGTGTAACACATCCATTCCACTACACTAGAATGCCAGCTTAGACAATGCAACTGAGTCCCAAAGTGGGGCTTGAACCCACAATCTTCTGACTGAGAGCCAGGCTGACACACACACTAAGCGGTGCATAAATCAATCAAATTACTACCAGAGGCTTAGAAAGATAGCATTGTTGTGACTGGTTCTACACTTGCCCTTGTACATCTATGTATTTTTTACTTGGTGCAAATATTATTTTAGTAAAGGTAGGAGTGGTCTCACTCAAGCTTTTACATCCAGGTATTTAAAAAAAATCAATTCAAAGCAATTCATATTACAGCAGCAGACAATACTGATTGAGCTGTGATGTTTACTTGTTTATTTAAATGGTTTTAATTGCATACATCCCATAGACCACTTACAAATTTCTCTTTGGCTGCGGGGTTGGGGGTGACTGCGGCGTTTTTGGTGGCCTTCCTCGCTTCTTCTGTGGCGTTGACTCAGTAGATAGAGACTTGTTCACACCCGACTCTGGACTTTCTATTCTATAACATGAACAATTCCAATAAATCAGAATTCCTATCAAATTTACAGAATGAGCAAAGAAACCCAAACCATCAAAATAATCCCATCTAATTACACTTCTCTCCTCCACCAACACACACACACAAACAAGCATACGCACGAGCACGCAAAAGTATGAGCACACACGCACAACATGGAAGAGGTGAGCCAAATGGTCCGTTTCCATGCTGTCTCATTCTTTGTCCTCTACGTAAATACCCAGGCTTGAATAGAGGGGAAAAAATAATTTTTATAGCACCTTACATGTTAAAAGTGTCAAAGCATTTTACAGAAGTTATTAAATGCAGCAGCCATTTTTCACACAGCTATGTCTCACAAACAACGACGAGATGAATGACCAATTTTATGCGGTAAAGCAACAGGGGAATAAATCATCAATGAGGCACTTTGTACAAGTTGACTAAAATATAGATCAAGCGGTATTTTTTATAACCTACCCTACCAAATGCGGCTCTGTAATGTCATTAAAGCTGTTGTAACTAGTTTACACATCACTGACTCTTCACGATCTCAGAGCATTTCCCAGAATTGTGCTTCAGTTAGTGAACTGAGACTTAATGATTTCTCAAACAAATCCAATATCCTGTATTATCGGAAATATTAGTTGAGCAGTTTAATGAGAAATGATAGGCATAAAGGCAATGAAGTACATTATATTGTATGTATGTTTGTATGTATGTATGCATGCATGCATGTCTTACACAAATAAAACCAATCGCATACAATTACCAACCTCTTCTGGGATTTTCTGGGTGTTCTTGGCTGTTTGGTTACTTTCTGCTTCTGCTCCTTATTTTCACTATCCCCATCTCCATCCTCAACCTCTGCTGATATTGCCCTCTTTTTCCCCTTCCTGCTGCCCTTTGCTGGGGCCTCTCCCTTGGGAACCTCCTCAATAGCAGCTTTCGGGGGCCGTCCTCTCCTCGACTTCTTTGGAGGGCTGTTCTGTTCATCTTCGTTCTGTAGAGGGTCCTCTTTTGATCTCTTCTCTTCTGGCCGCTGCTGATCGTCCGATTCAGATCCTGCTGCCGCCCTCTTACGTCCTCGCTGACCTGGTCGTGTGGATTTGACCTGATCCAGAAGCTCTGTGCTGGAGCGGTCCTCTTGATCTAACGTGAGTGCGGAGGCACCTTTCTTTCGTCCTCTTGGTTTATCAGTTTCTGACTGTAAAGAACAATTGGTTACTCACTGGAGCGTGGACTGAAGAATTGAGACAAAAATCCACCCACATGATCAAATTAAAAAGGTTGCGATTTCCCTCAACGTTTGTTATACAGCCTCATGATTATACAGAGACTAAAATACTTTCACCAGGACTCATTCCACGAGCACATTATTACTACAGATTCAGATAAAATCTCTGAACCCGAATAATACTAAGTTGATTTTTACTGAAGATTTGGAATGTTGCTTGCAGCTTTCTCAGCTCACATTGTAATAAAATTTTACATTTATATACTGCCTTTCATAAAGTGTGACGTCCCAAGGCGCATAGTAATACTGGCTTGGCAGTGCCAAGTTGCTACCTGAGAGGGGTAGGAAGGAAAGATGACTGAAAGTACAGTCAAAGAGATAAGTCATGAGACGGACCTTGACAGTTCCAGGGAGAGAGGCATGGTGCCTGGAAGCTCAGTCATCAATTTTGGGCGGATGGAGTGAGGAATATACAGCATACCAGAGTTAGAAGTATATATATTATATATACACACACACTTGAAAAGAAAAAAATTGCAAGGCTATGGGGAAAGAGCGGGACTACTTGAATAGCTCTTTCAAAGAGCTGGCACAGGCACAATGGGCTGAATGGCCTCTTTCTTGCTGTAAGATTCAATGAGGCAATCTTAAAAAGTACTTCAAAAGATCTAGTGCATACGCATAGTGTACAACTTCAATCGCATCATTTAAACAATATCATGCAATCTATGCGTGTGTGAAACAAAAACACAGAGGGTCTGGTGTTTCCGATCATACCCTCATGTGGTCCGCATCATCCCTTCTCTCCAATTTTTTTGCTGGAAGAGGTGGTGTCTTCATCACTGTGATGTCTTCATTTTCACTGTGGTCCACTTCAGAGCTTTCAACCCTTGAAATATGATACAAATCCCAGGTTAAGGCATCAAAATACAATTGACACAACCAAATTCAGTTCTTGTATAAAATCCATTCTCCTGTATAAAGAATTCTCATCCATCTATTTCTGCTCCATTAACCTAAAAGTAAACATCACAAATTCCCCTTGCAAACAAGCGCTAAACACTTACTTCATTTGAAATGCATCATTTTCCACTGGAAAATTTGCACCTCAGCATTAAGTAGAGAATGTATTTGAGCAACGGGAGTGACTGTAGCCTTGAAATTGTTGGAAAACATAAATATATTGTTGTAGTATACACTTGATCTTTAAATTGGGAATAGTGCCAGTAGCATCACAGTGCCAATGTCAATAGCCAGTATGCTCCATGACATTGATGTGCGAGGACATTTCAAGGATTACAATGTAAACATTGAGTTAATAATTTGTGCTCAATTACCAGGAAACCCTATATTCCATGTAAATTACAAAAGACTAATTTCTTAACTTTTGTTTCTCTAAAAACAGCATTACTTGTGCTCCATTTTATAAAATTAAAATGTTAACCTCAGAATCCGTGAAGTGATTCAATAAGCTTTTAATAAACTCTCCAGGGAACGCAACTTATAAATGAGCATCATTGAGGTGCAAATAATGAACCAAAAGAACTGGCTAACTCAGCATTTCTCTATTCTAAATACCAACTCAAACAACAGATGATATGTACTTATCTTTGCCCAAACGTTGGATAAACGTTAAACATGAAGATCAACCTTTCGACATTTATTCAGCTTGGATGAATGTGTGAGAAAAATACTTTGTTCAAAACAGTTAACACAAATATAATCATAGGGGAGTTGAGGGAGAGAGAGAGAAAGAGAGGATCGAATGAAAGGAAGTAGATGGTTCTGCTATGGTACCTGGTGCCATGGCCTGAGAAGATGCCAGGTTATAATGCTTCTCCGGGTTAGGAGAAATCTGCTACCAGTTGGAATACAAGGCTATTCTCTACAGGGATAGCAGACATTTTGTTTTGCATGGACACAACCATGAACATCTCTTCATGCCAAGGCAAATCTGGGAGGCAGACTGGTTACCTGCCCTCTGAGAAGCAGACAAGTTCAAACAGTCCTGTTTCATGCAATTAAATTATTTTAAAAATAAGTATAAATTACTGTTCAATATATACACACAGTAAAATATACTCTAAAATACACACTTCATCTCTATGCCTCACTGGAAATGTGGCTTTATTATTGTTAAGGTAATGGGTGAAGGATATTGCAGGAGTGACCATCTGATATAATCCATCTGAAATGGTATTAAACAGCTTCCCAATCGTCTTTGCCTATACTTGCTCCCCAGAAGACAATGACTGATGCTGGGCAGTGGCTCCAAAGGCAGCAGTACCCATCCAGTACCCCTACCCAAGTTACCATTGATCATACACCAGCTTTTACAGTCAGTGTTAGAGGCGGCATCACAGATTGAGCCTAATTCTTGTCCTCACCTGACATCCACACAAATGTACTTCCAGCAGGAATCACTGGATAGTGATCAGGAGCAGGAACCCTGGCCGTTTTTTTCCTCTGTAGCCAAGAAAGAATGATCAAAGCTGTGCCCTTTCTGGTCTGTATGGCTCAGTACACCACCACTTGTTGCATTTTACCCACTGAGCAGTGGTAGGTCACAACCTGTCCACTTTGACAGTATTCTGCAAATGGATATTTGCCCAGACACTAAGCCTTCATTCTTCTGCTACTTCTGCAGGACATTGACTGGTTTGTGTTGTTTGTTTTTACCACTCTTCTAAACATGCAGTGAAGACCATCTGCAACTTCACCCTCTAGGCTGACTATACAGAAAGGGAATCCTATATTTCAGTAGTAATACTGAGGTCTGGTTTTATTGAAATAAAGCTTGCAATTGTTTTCAAAACAAGATTGAAGATGTACTTATTAAAAACTTTGAACCATTTTCCCTTAAAAAGGGAAAGGCTCCCATTAGACCTTTGAGTACTGATTTCAAAGCGCACATTCAATTTCTTGTGAATTACAAGTTCGAAATCTACAAAGGCAAAATGCAAAGAAGGAAACACATACTGGGAATTAGACCTCCCATCCCAGAATAAAATGCCTATGTTATACTTGTTTTGCTGCTGAAATGTTCCTGAGGAGGCTAACATTTCAGCTTAGAAACAGGGTATTTTAATAGATTGATTCTCTCAATAATCAGATTGGATGCCTATTTGATTTCAAAAGATTTAATGACAGAATTGACTGAATGCATGTAAACATTTGTCATGCTGTACCTTCCTTTACTTCTTCCAGGAGAACTAGGGTTTGAGTTGCTGCTGGCATTGCTCATAGTCTCCATTCTTGAGGACTTGGTCTGTGCCTGCTTCCCTGCTGACGACAGAGGCTTATTCACTGCACCAAGTACATTAGTTGCCTTTGGCTACGTGGAATAGAAATCCAACATGATTAAACTGAGGCACTAACTCGGAGACAAAAACATGCCTTAAAACAAAGTAGCAAAAGTTTTCAATTTTAAGGCTTAATTACAACAACATGAACTTATACAGCACACTCTACGCAGGGTAGCATCTCAGAGCGCTTAACAGTGGTAGAGACTGACACTGAGCCTGGGGGAATGGGGGGAGGTGGCTGAGGCACGGTCTTCAGGCAGGACTTGAAAAGGGGGAGAGAAGGGGCAAGGCAGAGGGATTGAGGGAGTGGTCCAGAGTTTCAGGGCATAGTGGCTGAAAGCTCGATCTCCGATGGTGGGGGCGGAGGATGCGAGGGACGAGCAGGAGGTTGGTGCCAGTCGAGCAGAGGCACCAGGTGGTGGATTGGGGAATGAGGAGTTTGGAGAGGTAGGGAGGTGCCAGAGAGTGAAGGGATTTGGACTCAACTGTGAGGATCTTGAAGTTGATCAGTTCGGTGATGGGGAGCCTAACCAGAACTGGTGAGATGGGGTACTGAGTTTGATCCGAGTAAATAATTAACAAATCTAACTGATTGAATGCAGGTTGTCTTAAAAGCTTTGTAGAAATTGCACTGCAGAACCAAACCATTCTGCGGTTGACGATACAGTACTGTACTGTAATTTATTACCATCGCAGCATGACATCAAATATTTCATCCTACAAATGTATTAAAATACAAAACATATTTTTAAAAATATATACCTTTCCAGGTGTGAAAAAGGCTTTCATTTCTGAAGGCAGATAATTTTTGTTGTTGTTGAAGTTCTGAAATAAACAAACAAATCATACAATTTCAGTTGTTATCACTGTCCAAAAATTGAGTTACTGAAGAGGATGCCAAAGACAAGGCCAGAAAAGGCAAGATTCTTTGCTAACTAGAAGCAGATGAACACAGGCTATTCCCAGTTGGGAAACTGGCCGAAATTGGTAGCGAGCATGAAGCATAACGCACATTAAGAGTATAAAGCATTATACTTTGAGTTTACCCTTCGAAGAACATAACATCAGAGGAAAAGAATCCTTGTCTGATAAGATGACAACTTTAATCAGGACAAATCTCATATCAATTAATCCCAATGGCTGCTCGGATTTTACACTCTTATGTTATTTTCACTAATTGGCCAAATGTGAGGGGGAAAAAAGGGAAATACTACACATATCCATTTTTTTAAAAAAAATTCATTTTAATCTCCACCCACTGATATGACAAATACTTTTAGTTTACACTAAACACTTAACCAGGAGCCAAGTGTAATAATAACCTTTGCAATTGACATCGTGCCTGTAATGTTGACATTTCTCAAAGTGCTTTAGTTATGACTATTAAGTATAGCAGATTATATTGATAGGCAGATGAGGCGACCGATTTGTGCATAGCAAGGTCCCAAAAATCACCAATTTATCTGTAAAGTTGTTTGCCAGGATAGCAGAAGAAACTTTTCTTTTCAAATATTGCCTCAAATTAACTTCCACCAAGAACATGCAGATGAGACCTTGGTGCAACATCCCACCTGAATGTCAGCATCTCTGGCAATGCAATGCTCCACCCCACCAAAGCTGCACTGGAGTGTTAGCCTAGATTGTGAGCTCAAAATCCCCTACATGATGCTTGAATCTACAACAGAATGCTATTAACTGAGACAAGCCACTAAGAGAATCAGTTATAAATAAAGGTTAATTCAGCACAAATATGCATGTTAATTCAATGCCCTCCCAATGATGTTTAGCGAATCTTCTACCCATTTATGCCATTATCAGCATCTCACCATTATGGATAGATCAAAAAGTTAATATTAAATCGATTATTGGAACATATTCTTTTTTAAAATAAAAGTCCCGATGTCAACATTCAGCTTTTAATTCTCAATAACACATTTTGTCTTGCAAACGCATCAAGGAAGTGGAAATCATGCATAGGAAAGGATGAAACAAAAACAGACGTCGCTGGAAACACTCAGCAGGTCAGGCAGCATCTATGGAGAAAGGAAAGTGAGTTAACGTTTCCGGTCCACGACCCTTCGTTAGAACTGGGGCATGTTGGGAGGGAGAGGCTTCTAAGGGCTAACAGAGAGTGGGGAGGTAGGGCAAGGAAGACAAAGAAGAAAATGGGTTATCGGACAGGGAGTGATGGGTTAAAGAGGTGTTAATGATGCAAAACAAAGGGGGGATTGCCATAGGAAAGGATGCCTGGCAGGAGGGTTTCTATTTAAAATATCAGTAGATACAAGAGAACAACAACAACAACAAGATTCCATTTATTGAGCGTCTTTCACGTCGGGAGGACGTCCCAAGGCGCTGTACAGTTGGGTCAGGACCCGAGCAGGGGGGAATGGTCAGAGGGAAGGGAGGGAGCGAGGAGGGGGTAGAGAGTCGAGAGGGGAGCTGAAGGCATGGTCAAAGAGAAAGGTCTTGAGACCGGCCTTGAAGGAGGAAAGGGAGGAAGCGGCGAAGGCACTGGGGGATAGAGTTCCAGAGCCTAGGGGCTGAGAGGCTGAAGGCCCGGCCACCGATGGGAGGGCGGTTGGGGCGGGGGATGTGGAGCAGACCGGAGCCAGAGGAACGGAGGGTACGGGCAGGTAGGTAGGGGGATAGTAGGTCAGAGAGGTAGGAGGGAGCGTAGGTGAGGGTGAGGATCTTGAATTCGATCCTCTGGAATTTACTCCCCGGATGAAAGTGACAGCTTCCATCCGAGATACTTGTTTAAAATCAATAAACTACACAAACCTTGTCAGGTTGAGTGAAGTATTTAGCGGGGAGCACTGGGTCCTTGGGAGATTCCAGGCTGTACGTAGTACTTTTAGAGATGATGATGTTCATTGCGACATCACAAACTGTGTATAATTTCTGAAAGGAAACACACAGAATGACACTGGCTTTGCAGATCTAATTTTACAAATGAATCGTTCAAGATGTAAAACAGGGGGAAACAGTATTTAGGACCAGTGACCGCACGAACGCGCACACACGCACATGGGAGCTCCATTCTAATACCCTTCAATATAGCACTGCCTCGCCTATAAATAGGTAATGAACCCCTACAGTCTGTGATGTCAAATACATCAGTGTTACATTTGATTAATATTAATGATGCAGTAATCTTCCTGCCAATCAATAGCACAACTCAATGATGTTTACTGATGAATCTCATGGGGGTGTAAACACTCTTCAAAACTAATCTAGGGCACTGAGTACTGCATTCCCAGACTATATTACTTGCATCTTCCATTTCAAGACTGTGTGGGTAACGGGTGGGGAGAAAGGGGCAAAAACAAAAGTCTTAAGGTTCATTGTTTTGCTTAAACTCTTCTAAGGGCTTAATAGAACTAAGCCAACTGACAATAATACATATGAAAACTGAACATTAACCTGGATTTGTTTCTTCCTCCTCCCCTCAAACCACTGACATTCGTCTGGTCTCTAATTAGAAAAACATTGAACAGCCTTGGAAAAGGCACACGCACACACACATGCAAATTCCATTATAAACTCTTCAAGATAGCACCGTCTCGCTTATAAGCTGTATGGGTAATATCAAAGCACGAAAATCCCATAATGGCGACAACACCATCAGCTGGTTATCATGAACGTCCATGACTCGCGATGCTTTAATACTGGATATTTAGGAATGAAGGACAAACCTCATTTATCTTTGGGTCATCAGGCCCTTGGACATCCTTTGTCTGTTTAATGTTCTCCACCATTTTCCTGATGAAAGCATGACTGTTGTTTTCATTTTTAACCATCAGGATTTCAAGCATAAACCATAAACACCTGGAAAACACAATTAGAATATGTAGAGAACCAAAATATGTGCCCTGCCTGCCTCGCACCATATTGCCTTAAACCATAAAACTAAAATAAATGTATGCCGCCAAAACAGAACAAGAGGACATGGGTTTAGGATTACAAAGGGCAATTTCAGGACAGAAATTAGTATTTCTTTACCAAGAGGTAATTAACTGCTGGAACACGTTACCAGCAAGGGTGGTTGAGATGATGACATTGGATTTGTTTTAAAAGCTGCTCAAAGTGTGATGGGGAAACGGTAGGGTGGGTACTCTGTAAGGGTGAGATCAAATAGGCCAAAAGGCATTCTTCATCTGATGATGAGCAGCACCAAAACAGTAAAAGTTGACTTTCCCCATTCTTATTGCTAACATTTTCAAGAACTTCATGATGTAAACTAAATATTTTAAAATTAATTGGTTTTATTTTGTAAGTTTTAAAACAATCCTTTGTACACCAAAGAATGCCAACAGACAGGTCTTTGATTGGAAGGACATAGGATAACTCTCACACAAAAGGACCGCTAAACTCAGCAGATTAGTGTAATCTTCAAAGTTCAACTGTAAGTTTTCTTAACAGTTATTATTATTAACCATATTAACAACAATCCTTGTATTTGACTTATCACATTTCAAGTAATTCAAACGTCTCAAAGCTCAGCAGTAATTATTGTAAAGTGCAGTAATTGTATCTGTTGGGAGTTATTAAAATACAAAATAATCTGTGCATTTGATATAGTGCCTTATCACATCACATGGAGTCTCAAAATGCTTCACAATCTTTCACTGTAAAGTGTAGTGACTACATTTGTAGGAAAATGCAAGACAGGGTTACTTTGAAAAGGGCAAAGGTGTCAGCAGTGCTTTATAAAATAGGTTAATAATAATCCTTGAATTTGATATAGCGCTTTTCATGTCTTCTAGATGTCTCAAAACGCTTCACAGAATATACTGTATAAGTGAATTGACTGTTTATTTGTGAGCGAACGGCGGCAGCCAATTGCGCACAGCAGTGTTTCACAAACAGTTGTGGATTGAAAATGACCAATTTATTATTGTTTCGTTTTGGAGGGATTCTTATTAGGTGTGTGGAGTAAGGATCTTGCTTAGCTTGTGGTTTTTGAAATACTTTCCCAGTAATACTTCAATGAATTAAAATTTCATACGATTTCATTGCTCTGGTAAAAGTACATTGCAGATAAATCACCTGCGTGATTGGAGAAACACGATTAAACCACCTTTTTGGATGAGTATAATACCTTGCCCTCTACTGTTCTATAGCACAATTACAAATCAGCATCACATTAACTTACTCAAATTACTTCATAATAAAGGTACTGTTTTGCTTCTTTTAACTGTTATATTACAATTCAAGCCAGTTTTTGGAATCCTTAATGATTCGGATATTCAGCACATTGGAACTGGTGCCAGTGCTATCCTTTAATTTGCCCCATATAAAAATAATTATGTTTGATATAACACCTTTCATGTCAAGATGTCTCAAAATGCTTCACAGGATTTACCATAAAGTGAAGCAACTGTCTATTTTGTGAGCAAACGCCACATCCAATTTGCACACAATAATGTCCCACAAACAGCCATGAAGTAAATGGCCAATTTATCTGGAGGACAGTTGGCCAATACTCTCTTCTGATTTTAAATAGCATTATAGAATTTTTTAGATATGGGACTAGTCTTAGATGCAGATAACAACAACAATCCTTGCATTTGATATAGCGCTTTATCACGTCTTCGAGATGTCTCAAAGCGCTTCACAGAATAGACTGTAAAGTGAATTGACAGCATATTTTGTGGGCGAAACACAGCAGTCAATTTCGCACAGCAGTGTCCCACAAACAGTTGTGGACCGTAGTGACCAATTTATTTTTTGTAATTTATTTTGAAGGAATTATTCCCCCCGGAAAAGCTTCTGCAATCGAGTAACAATCGGGCTCCTATTTACTGCTAGGTAAACAGAGTCGTGTGGAGTAAGGAAACTTGCCCAACGTTTCGCCCTATCAGGAATCAAACCCAGGTACTCTCGCTTGCCAGGCAAGTGCTCTAACCTCTAAGCAAAATAAACACATTTTTAAAGCTTTTTTTCTTTTTGGAAAAGATGAATCTGGGCAGTGCTTTACTGGGGTGGGAAGAATGACCACGATATTGGATGTTAGGGAATGGTTGCAGAGATAACACATGCAGGTCTGTGTGAAGGGAAGCAGAGAAGTGTCACGGTTATTAATTTATTTTTTCTAGACCACCTGACTTGATAAGTGGGAGTCAGGTCTGCTCCCAGACTAACAATAATAGTTAGGAAGTGGGTAAGAGATTCCACAATTTAACGCAACATAACATGTAGGAGCAGGAGTAGGCCATTCGGCCCTTCAAGCCTGCCCTGCCATTCAATCATGGCTGATTTTCTAATCTAACTCCAGCTAATAACCTAACTCTGCCTTATCCCCATATCCCTTAATCCCTTTTGCAATAAGAAATCTATCTATCTCAGTCTTGAATATGTTCAAGTACTGAGCGTCAACAGACCTTTGTTAAGCAGAATAAACAGAAGCAAACACTTACTCTTTAATGTCTTTAAGCTGCTCATATCTTGGACCTTTACGTAGTCTGGATCGTGTGCAAGGAGGTGGATTGTGTATGGAACAACATATTCAGGTAGCAGGGATAACAACTTTTCTAGAGCGACACAAGAAATAAAAAAAGATAATTAGTGCCTGAATAAAAAAAACAAGAAAATAAGTGCATATTAATTTGAACTGAGAATTTCCTGAGCTTGCTACAGGAATGAGATGCACCCAAGACAATGACAGAGCCTAAAACTTACACCATTCAAACAAAAACAGTAATTGAAAACAAAACTCCTCCTAAATACCTGCTTTACAAAATACCAAGTATTGTAGTGCTTTTTTAAAAAATGATACACTATTATTCTCCTCTTTTAATCCTGCTACTTAGGTAAAGTCTTGGGTCTTTTTATTTTAAAAAGCAGAAAACCATTAAATTACCACTGTGCAGCAATATTTTGATCATTCTTTACAATGTTTTTATGTGTCAAATCCCAACCAAGGTAATTTTACAATGAATATAATTTCCTGAGTCAACTGAAGGTGGGGGCAAATGTTATATTTAGTAACTAAATTGGAGGAAAGATAGCAGGAGAGATCACAAGCACCAGAGATCTGAGTGCAACACCTGCAACACAACTTGCACTTAAATAGCACCTTTCAAATCAGGAGGATATCATAAAAAGCTCGACAATTCTAGCTGGCCACCAGAACTGAGAGTGGGAGCTGAGATGGGCAAAGAGAGATAAGATTTCCAAAAACATGGTCAAAGAGGTAAGTTTTGAAGGAGGAAGGGGTCAGATCAAGTTGGAAGTACCTGAGAATGAATTTCTAGAGAGTGGCAGTCACACAAGCACACAAAAAAACAAATGTTGCATTCATTAATATATATATATAATATATATATTAATGAATGTAGCATCCTAAAACATAAAACATAAAGCAATGGCAAAACATTTATGACCCATTTCTACTGCTGGAATGATATGATACGACTTCTACTCAAGATTTAATGAGGCAGGACAGATCCAAGCAATATGGTCTCTCGCATCAAACAATTTCCGCATATAGGACACTGACGTGGGGAAATTTGCTCGTTGTATCCGCGATGCATTCAACACTTTGACAGTTTTAAAACAGCACAATTTTTATTTCAAATGTATAGTTTATAGGCCTGTTTTAATAGAAGACTGCAGTGGTGCAAAGCATTTATCTCTTGAATGATGTAACTTGCATTTCTGTGCCAAAAATACAGTATAAAGATAAGTGGTAGAAATGGGCAATAAAGATTTTGGAAAATAGTATTTCAGCGATAGTCAAATAGACTTTGTTGGTGAGGGATGGTGGTGGGGAAGAGAAGAAAAGTACAAACAGTCAAAAAAGAAAATCTAGCCAGTAAAATATTTCAAGTTGGTCACTTGACCTGCAAGTTCCAACTCCACAGCTGAATTTGGGACTTGCCACAAGAGCAGCAAAAGGAGAACGTAGAAAGAATGTTTTCACCCGGAGAGTTGTTGGGATGTGGAAAGTCCTGCCCAGTAAGGTGTTGGAAGCAGAGCCCACTGCAACTTTCGAAAGGACAGTAGACAGGCATATAAAAGAGAGGGGCTTGAAGGAGTATGGGGATAAGGCGGGGTGTGGATTAAATTGATCTCCCTGACTGTGAGCTAGCGCAGACTCAATAGGCTCAATGGCTCCTTCTGCACACTAGATTTCTATGATTTTCAGTTGAAGTACAATAAGAAATTAAAATGTTTGTAAGGCACAAGAAAGTCTCAATCCTTCAAAAAACAGGATGGGAAAAAAAGAGATATGATAATGGATTATAGAGAATGTTCATTAAATATAAATTTGGGGCATGACATCGTTGTTTTCATTTTATTTATAAAGAAAAGAAATCCAGTTCAATTCAAAATGCTGCTTGAATTGAGATTTTGATGATATTATAAAACCAATGGAGAAAAACAATCAAATGAGTATTTTATAATAAAACAATCCCTGTATTTGATACATCGCCTTTAATCCTGTGAAGGCACTTCACAGGATTTACTGCAAAGTAAATGCCCATCTATTATGCAAGCAAATGTGAGAGCCAATTTGTGTACAGCAATGTCCCACAAACAGATATGAAGTGAATGACCAATTTGATTTGGGGAATTGTTGGCCAGGACACTCCCTTCTTTTTCAAATATTGCCATGGGATCTTTATTGCCTACCAAAACAGGAAGACAGGACCTCGGTTTAACCCCTCATCTGAGGAATGCTGAAACCAGCACTGACAACAGACCACCAATCCACAGACACTATGTTCCAACATTCTGCCCATGCGGGTCAACATTCTAGCTAACATTAGCAAACACGGGAATTGGCACTCAATGCTGAATTCTTAAATGTAATAATTAATGAAGAAAATGGAAAAATGCTATCTTAGTCATCATTTTCTTGAACCTGTCTTTTCTGAAACTCAGTCAGCCCTACCTCACCCTATCACAATTTCTGTGTAAACCCGTGAATCAGTAACAAGGGGCACAAGGTCAGGATTAGCACTGGAAAGGTTAAGTGGTAAATTAAAATAAACTTTTCCACACAGGGGGCTGCTAGAATATTGAAGATTTTCCCATAAGTAGCTATTGAGCTTAAACTATAGCAATATTTAAAGGAAACTGCACATGTGAAAAAAAAATGTAAGGGTTCTGGAAAAGTCCAGTGAATTGGGACTAAAGTTCCAAGATGCTTTCCTGAGTAAAGGACACTTGTCCACTCTAGGTGTGAGCACAGGCACAATTGGCCAAAATAGTTTCCTTCTGCATTATAATACTTCGGCTTATAAATGTAGTCAACAACTGCTCTCACATGCCACAAACCAGCTCCACACACCCCTGCTCCTCAGAGCTTGCCTCAATGAGGTGCATGTAAAATTCAGTAAATACCCAACAAACTAGATGTGTCCTTTTGAAGATCGTACATTTCTTGCAGATCTATAAAATCGCTTTCTACCAAGCAAACAAAAATTCCACATTTTCTCCATGAAATGAGAAATACTTTGCCATAAGAATAAGAAGGAATAAAACACTAGTTTGTTTAGCTGTTTTTTGCTTTTAGCGCAGGAAAGTTTGAAGCACTCCGAGATGCTACCCTGCGTGAAGGGTGCTATATAAATGCAAGTTGTTGTTGGTTTTGGCCAACCGGGTGTCTGGCATATGTGAATGCTGTCTCCATATTTATGAGTATCCAAATCAGACGGAAACTCACACGAATACAACCTACACATGAAAATTCTGGAATGGAATGCACACTCACTCTCCCCAAACGAACACACCCTGCTTACCCAATGCCAGAGCGTATGAGGTGCAGGTTGGCAAGAACCAAAGCTTGGGGACCTCAGAGTGTATGTTGGGGTACTGATGCGAGTTTAACTAGCTAAAACCGCATAGCTTGCCATTGAAAGCAATGTTTTATTTGATCCCGGCAATTGCTTCTGAACAACCTGCAGATACCCACCACTGACTGCCGCATGCTGCTTCAGGTATTCCCTCCGAAGGTTGATGTTTTTCACCAGGCACTGCCTAGCATGTGCTCTTCTCTCTTTTGCCGGGTCCTTTGCACACAGTGCAAACATTGCCATGTATTCCAGGGGCAGCCTCAATTTGGCAAGGCCCTTGTTGAGCTTCTGTGCAAATATCTGCCTCACTTGATAACATTCATCCTGTAAAGAAACAATTTCATAGCTACTTTCGTCGGCCAATGCAGAGATTAAAGAAAGAAAATATGAAGGAGGGCAACTGGGATCCACGGAAGCGTACCAAAGCGCGAGGCAGCAACCTCCAGCTTTCAACCTTCATAGGAACATAGGAATTAGGAGGAGTAGGTCATTCGGCCCTTCAAGCCTGCCCCACCATTCAACAAGATCATGGCTGATCTTCTAACCTAATTCCATCTGCCCGCCTTATCCCCATATCCCTTAATCACTCTATTCTTTAGAAATCTATCAATTTCAGTCCTCTCCTGAAGGCAACGAACAAAAACATTGCTTTAAATATTGCTGACATTTTGAGTGTCAAAAATGCAGGTTTCGATATCTAAAACTAAGTCTGTACTAAGTCAAAATTCTGTTTGCAATAGGTTTCAGAACACATCATAATTAAAAATGAATTTTCTTTGTAAAATTACACAGAATCAGCAACTTGGTATATGTGCCTTTATTTAAAAAAAACATAAAAAATGAAAATGACAATCAAAAGAGTTAAAGCAACTTACGTTCACTACCAGTGCACACAGCTGAATCTGTTCTAGGGTAATGATCTCATAGTAACAGGGTTCTTGTGCTAACTTCAGAACTGCACAGCCAGCTGCCAGGCGAAGGCGTGACATATCAGGTTTACTGTTGGAGAAAATAAAAGGAAGACAAGTGGGAAGAAAAATCATTTGCGTGTTAGTAGACTCTTGCAGAGGTTCATGAGACTGTCATCTGCCAGGACACATAGAAGGCCTGCGGACCCGAAATCAGAAGACAGATCAGAGGAGAGATGTTCACATTTTGCATGAAGAGGTTTTGTTTTGTTAAAATAAATAACACACGCAAATGCTGACAGATTGCCAACCACCAAACACATTTGCATTATCACCACCATGCAAGATCATCAGGTTTACTTACATCTCACTCAAGTTTCACATTTACAATTCACTAGCACAGAGTATAGTGGGTACCCAGGTACATGGTTTCTAATTTAATCGCACTGTACATCACGTCTCTCCAAAACAGCAGAATGTGACGTTCGCAGGATCCATTCATTAAAGAAGAGGATTTCCTGTAAGGTGGAAATTTCCTGTGAAGTTTGTAGCTGAGCACCTGGGGACCGTTGGCCAGGACACTGGGAGAAACTCCCTTTGCTTTTTCAAAAAGTGCCATGGGATACTTAGCATCCTTCTGAACAGGCAGACAGCACCTCAGTGCAACGTCTCATCCAAAGGATCTAAAGGACTTTGGATCATACAGAGGACATATGCACATCACCTCAAAGAACAGCGCAACAATACCTTGCGCGAATTTAAAAATAAGCTTCAAGGTCTTAGCTTGCCATTATTTGTTCAGAAAAGATATAAGTATTTTGCAATTTTAGTCCTTCAAACACAGTGACTGCTTGAATTGAAATTTGCAGAAACAACTTAAGAGAAAAAGCTCAGCAGTTTGTTACCTCCTCAATTGCTACTGTCGAAAGTACAGACGTGAGAGTTGTCTCACATCGACCTATATTTTTTCGAAAGTGTGTTAAGTATTTCTGCAACACAAGAGTTGTTTGAACATGTTCCACTAATGGACAGGGATAGCTGTCTTTCTGACACTGATTGAGTACATCTATAGGGCAGATCAAAAATGAGGGAAATTTGCCTTTCTGGCTACAAATGGTGCGCCAGCAGTGATCAGTGAAGAATTAAGTAGTTTCCAGAGTGAAAGCTAAGCTACGATCTGAAAACTCACCATTGCAGTTTACATCCTATCACTGTATTATTCAGCATTAAACTCTCTGTGGGAAGATAATGGAGATGGAATCTGTGACGAATGTCATAGTCCACACAGTAAATTTCATCCGTGCTCCAAGATAGCATCATTATCAGTTTACCGGCTTTCTGGAAAATCTGGGTCAGTCAAATTTGGAGAACTACTGCACCATTCAAAAACTGATTGAGCTTCGTGAAGTTAAAAGTTTATTTACACTTAGGGCCAAGAGATCAATTTCCACACATTGTGGTGTTTTTTGAATTGCTACATGAAAATTGGTACACCATCTGACAATTCTACTGGACTTGACCAAGTACTTGAATGTTCTCAACACACGTCTTCAAATTCAACTCGACTCACTGCTGTATGACCATGTGCGTGCATTTGAGTCGAAACCTCAACTGTGGGAGAGACAACTGCAAGAAAGCAAATTTCCCCACTTTCCAACACTCACTTCTTTTGTCAACAACTATAATTTCTCGACTTTCTCCCGCAACATTGTCTGGGGAACTCAGTGCAAAGGCCACAGATTTTCAAGATTTTAAAGTGCAGAAAATATAATTTGATTTGTGTTGTGCATCTACTTTTACCGTGGAGGTGGACAGTGTATCGGCTGACTTCCAAATGCAGTTAATAGAACTGTGGTCCAATGATGAACTGCAAAAAAATATTGGTTTATCAAAACTTTTCAAATATTTCCCAGTATCACCTTTCCAAAAAATGCTCCACAATGCTGCAAGCCTGACACCCATGTTTAGGAACACATACTTATGCAAGCAATTGCACTCAACAAGAATGTTCACAAAGTCTTCTATTCCCATCTATCAGAAACAGCTGAAATCATCCAAATTTATTTTCCATGATCGTATTCTCATTAAAATACAACAACAACTTGGATTTATATAGCGCCCTCCACGCCGGACGGCGTCTCAGAGCCTTAAATAACCTCATATTAACATTATAATAATAATAATCCTTGCATTTGATATTGACATTGACCAAGGAAAGCAGTAATTTAGAAAATGACCAATCCATGGCCTTTGCAAACTGATAACACACAGAAACCATTTGCAAGCACAGCCCATGCATTTGCCTCGAGAGGTTACCACGTACCTAATTTTTCCCTGTTCTGTCAGATCGCCATCACTGTGCAATATTGCTGTTAGCAGTCTCAAAGTAGATGATCCCGATTTATTCACATTGTTCTTCATTCCCAATAGCCACCGAACCATCATCTTAATTGCCTGAATCTGGAAAGATAACACACTATTCAGTGACAGTATTTTTCTTAATGTAATACCATAGAACTTTACAGTATGGAAGAAATCCTTCAGGCCTTTGTGCCTGTGTTGGCTCTTTGAAAGGTCAATCCATATACTCCCAATTACTTGTCTTCTCTACACTCCTGCAAATTACTTCTTTTTTTAAAGATACATCAAATTCCCTCTTAAAATCTCATATTGTTTCAGCCACAAACTATTCACTTACAGTATATTCTGTGAAGCGCTCTGAGACATCTCGAAGATGCGATAAGGCGGTATATCAAATGCAAGGATTATTATTATATATTGCACTTGGCAGGGCATTCCATATCCTAGACAACCTTGTGTTTAAAAAAAAACTTCCTCCCAATCTCTCCTTTGGTAATTATCTTGTCTCACTGACATAATAAGGCGATATAGCAAAAACAAGGATTATTATTATCATCTTAAAATTATGCCCTCTAATCAATACTCATTGACCAGTGGAAATAATTTCTACCCATCGACCATCAAAACACAGTCAATCCACTTTACAATATATAGGGTAGCGTTGGTCCTGGCTAGTCAAGCAGCAGGAAAGCTTGCCAGACAGCGATATCAATGGCAGGCTATGCACAATTTGGGATCCTCAAGCCTTGGATCTTGCTGACCTGTACCTAATACTTTTCGGAATCAGGTAAGCAGAATGCCTACCAGGGAGGGAGGGAGCTTTCCATTCCAACAGACTATCTCTGGAATTTCCATGTGTAGGTGGAATGCATGAAATTCGCAGTTTATTTTGGATTCTTTTAAGGATGAGCTTCAGGCTGATCAAAGACAAAACTATAGCACTTACTTTTGTCAGAGTTTCAGGGTAGATTTCATCATCTGAAGCCCAAAGTTTTGTAGTCTTCTTTCCTGGAACCTAAAAAAAACAATACACATAACCAGTGTCTGAACTGAGAGTCATTGTAAACAATGGACATAGTGTTTATTCCAAGTTCACACAAGCAGAGGAACATTTTGTATTTCAATATATCAATGCTTTAGGATTTTCACACATTGACTGAGAAAAAAAANTCAAACTATTTAAAAAGTGCACAATCTGGAATCTATGTGAACATTCACCATGGGACTCCATGGAAAGGTTAGGCTGACTGGATCTCCAAACGGGTATCATTAATATTCACCTGCTTTCCAGAAGTGAGGGCCAACGAGAAAGACGTTTGCATTAATGCTCTGCCGACTTTGTGAAAAAAAACTCAGAAAGCTCACATTCTCAGATTGGCTGAGTCTCTAACGCATTGGCCAGTTTGAATCAGAGAATAATTTAAAAGAGAATAATCAGCATTTTGTTCGAGTTTCATTTTCCAGGCAAACTCCTGGTGTAGCTTCGACTTGCTGCACCCCAAGACAGAAGTTTCTGGGCATTTCATTGACTGTACAACCTTTTTAGAGCTCCAAAAACATGTACCAATGGAGGCAGTTGACACAAGGCTCGGCCCATGATTTCTGATATTTATTTCCAAGCTAAGGGTAAAATAGTGAATTCATCCCTGGGCTGTCAGTTGGACCACACTGAGCGATAGAAATCAACAGAAATGTGCAAGCAGCTCTCAATCACATCAGGCTGGCTAAAAATGAGAGATGATACAAGTACAGAAACAACAAAATTCTTCCTTTCAAACGAATGTAACAGAAGCACAAGCTATAATTTTTGTACTTACTCTGTCATTCATTAGCAAATCTTTCACAACAAAACTAGCCACCAAGGACTTGAGAGGTCCGGAAAACTGTTCTGGAGCCAACATGGCTATATGTCCAATAGAAATCAATGGAGTTATGAGCTGCTCTGGGTTGCTGGGATCCATGCTCTTATGCAATGGCTAGAAAGATAGAAAATAAGATTAGACTTCAAATCCGTCAGTCCAGGTGGGACTGTAGTGCAGTTTTTACTGGAGCAGAGATTCTTCCTACTTAGCTCCCGTTAATACTGCATGCCGATGCCTGAAGAATCGAGTGGTCCTAGCTGGACAAGCAGCAGGAAGCTCTCAACAGTAAACTATATTGTTTTAGCTGTTAAACTCCAGCAATGCACATGGTGGGACTCCCAAACCTTGAGTCTTGTTAACTTGCATCTCGTACTCTCCGGAATAAGCAAGTAGGATGCATCCCTACAGGGAAAGTTGCTCACTCTGTTGTGGACACAGAGAAATTTCCATGCATAGGTGGCTTACACATGTGGAATTCTCAGTCTAGTTGGGATATTCTTAAGCACAGTGATGGATTTCTGCATTTGTCAGACATCCAGCTGACCAAAATAAAATGGTACTATTTTGATACCTTTTCAAAACATTTTTTAAAAATAAAGTTCAATAAAATTTCCTTTTACACAGAAGCAATTCCTCGCTGGAATCCGATCACTTTGCTGCCAACCAAGTGTTGTCAAATATTAATTAATGATACTTCAAATTAACCACAAAAAATTCCTTTACCAAATAATCTCTAGCAGTAGAGTCCAATGCTACGCTCTGTGTTAGTGCCAACACAAGCTTCAATGGGTTATTATCAACTATACACAGAGACAAAATGGGCATTTTACTACCTAAACAGGTTCTAAAGATTTCAAGTTTCATCTGTACAAGCAATGTCCGTCCTTAAGTGGGTCAATGCCTAAACCTTGGATTTGTTTAAGAAATGCATGATGCTTAAGAAAACTATGAAGGAATCAAGCATAATAATCTGAATGCAACTAAACCGCGAGTTAAAAATGTTGAATATTTTACCTCAAATATCTGTGCAAACTGAGTCTCTTTACTGTTGAATATGGCATGGATGCAGTGAATGGCATGCTTAGCCTGACGTGGGGTACCTTTCTTAGCTTTGTGCTGTAATACTGGAAGTAAAGCACTAGACAGTAGTGGGAAATAAACAAAGAAGATCAATGTTAGATTCATTTTCTGGGAACACGACCCGATTCTGCATCAGCTACAAATGTCAACACAATGCCAAGTCCCCTTCAGCACTAACCTGAGGATACAGATGGAACCCCAGTCATGGAATAGCACCCTCTGCTGTCAGAGACAAATTTCTATTTATATATATTTATACTTTACCTGATCACACAAGACGATAAGTGGGTGACAGCGAGTTGCAAAGGTTATGAAGCAGTTTAGGGATACGGTAGGGCAGTGGGATTAAAAGCACAAATCTCAGTTTGCTGAGAGCTGGTGGAGGCTCGATGGGCCAGATGGCCTCCTGTGCTGTAAATTTCTGATTCTAAATTAACAACCCAAAATCAGTGCTCATAACATTGCAAACCACCAGCATTGAAACATGCAGAGTATCAATACCAGCAGATCCTAGTGATGTAATTATTGCCTTTACTCCTCTGATATTATCAAAAGAATGTCCTTAACAATGTTCTCTAGTTTGTTTTTTTTGCCTTTTTTCTATCTTCGGAGTGGGTTGCACTGAATGCAATCCAGTCAGAGCGATGCGAGTGAATTTGTGACAAGATCTGAAGGAACATGGAATCATAAAACTAGAACTAGTGGCTTTTCTTCAGCAGTGGGATCAGGCTGCAGTCTGCATACAGGAGATGACGTTTTTCGCACTTCATTCACCGGCCCTATGGAGAGGTCTTTACACTCCTTTCTTACAATCAGCCAAACAGAAAAGAACCCTCACCCAGTGCAGCTTCGTAATAACACACTTCTTTACAGCACAAATTCAGTGTTAATGCAGTCGCTGCACTGTGGATACCATTTACCGTGGTTATGTGCTAAAAATGGCCAACTTCAAAGTATCAAGTCGCAAACCAAAGTTACTTCCTGTTTGTTGCGCATGAGCAATGCAGGAAATGATATTGGTGACAACATGATGACCCAGGAAGTGACACCTTTTTTTAAGCATGCAGCATGCAGGGAGCAAGCCGGCAGTACATGTGACTGGTTAGCTGTGGGGATTATAGCACTATAGCACCAATTGGGATGTTATGGATCCAACCTTCATGTTGTAACAAGGCACCACTTTTCTTCACCGCTTCGCCTTTATTCACTATGATGCTGAAATTTCAATCTCCCCTCCCCCACCCTATATACATTGTGATTCATGAAGAAATTACCTTGCATAGAATTTCCAGAACTTCAGTAAAAAACAGAAAAACTAAAATTCAAAGGGGAAAAAATCCTACTCTTTTTATCTGCATCAATAAAGATCCTCAGAGACAATAATCAACATTTAATTTTCAGTATCAAGCTATATCTGAATTCAAGCAATAGCAAAAAAATCACAAAAATGTCAATTGTAAAACAGGGACTCGAATATAACGAAAACCTACGATCTGATGTGAGGAAAGTCGTCTTCTATTTTCTTCCCAGTATTTCGGAAGATCTGTAAAGAAGCTTCTGCCACCTTTTCATCTTCCATTTTCAGGCACTGCAGGAGGGACTCAAATGTTTCCGCGGAATGAAAGGAGATTGAATGTGTAAATGACAATACCTGGAATAGAAACAGCAGCACATTGGGGTAGAGGGGGCGGCGGGAGAGAGAGAGAAAAAAAACAGTAATTTTAACGATTTTTCCAATAATAATGTAGTTTTCTATTTATAAAATAGAAGATGCACCTAGCTGTCATTTTGTCTGCAAGTCTGTATTGGGTATTTTTCTCCACAAGCCCATACATTGGAATCCCACGGGGATGAAAATATCTTATACTTTATAATAAGAGTAAGAAGCCTTTTCCACAAAAATAACAAAGATTATCAAATAATTTACATTAGATATGGCTTGCTCATTGTTTGAATGAAGTGCAACCTCCACATCTAAGCAGTTATAGCCTCTGTCGCTGAAAGGAATGAACCACATGGGATCAAAGTCTCATGAAAAACTCTGTACCATGCAAAAGGCAAGCTTCCACCACCCTCCTGCACAAGAGGCCTCTTTATCTGGGAGCAGGGATTCTTCCCACTCAGCTCTTATTCATGCTACATGCCAAAGCCCTTATGGGTAAAGTGCTGGTAAAACTCTTAACGGAACTCAAATCTACATTCTTGCCAAACTGTGAGAAATATTCGAGAATTAGGTAAGCACACGACAAATTTACATTTATACAGTGCCTATCACATCAGGAGGCTATCTCAAGACACTTAACAATCCGGGCCCCAGATAACAGAAACAGCACTGAAACAAGTCAAAATCAATGCAAGCAACACACAGCCAGGAGGAGAAACAAGGTCGATTTGTATGTGGAAGCAGAACATCGTTCAAAAAGTGTAGAACACCATATGAAGTCTCAACAACAACTTCCACGCATACCAACCTTTCACCTTTCAACCCTACAACGTTTTACAGATATGACAGAGAGCACTGAGCAGGGATAGAGAAGTGAAAATCAAGTTATTTTCAAGATGGTTTACAAGAAAATTCCAGAGGGTATAGGCATGGATACTGGAGGCTTGGCCACCATTGTCAGGAAGGAGGGAGTGAGGAACACAAAATAACTAAGAACGAAGAGTGAATCCTCACTAGCCATCCTCAGGGCTGCTTGCATATAAACAGAGACACAGTTTCTTTGTTCTCTGCTGAGAAACCCAAATTATAGTGCTCAGCAAAAGTTGGCAAAATGTTCCAAATAAACTTGTGAGGAAGGCCAGAAAATCTATGAGCAGAGCAAAGTAAACACAACGGTGCATGAAACTTCATTTCCTGCAACAAATAAAACGTTAAAGTAACTTTTGTTTTGGCAAATAAGATTGGTGAGGCAAGTTGCAAAGCCACATCATATTTTTTAAAAAAACTTTAATGCTGATCTGTCAAAATGCAACGCAATCGGTGGTGGTGGGAGGGGGGGGGGGGAGGAAGAGACTCAGCAGCTTTTTTCTCCAAAACCAGAATGAAAGATTAAAAATAGAAAGAATGATCCTTTAATTCTCAAAATCAATGTGCATCATGAAACACAAGAAAGCATTAAGTGGTAACATTCCAAAATGTTGCTGCCAGTGGTTCTGGTATTTACCTTAAGCAATTCAAGGCCTGCCCGGATTGCTTCATCGGTTGGCACACCCTCCTCTTCATCATCAGCTGTACCATCAATGGATTTATTGATCTGCTTGATTAAAGCACTACAAAGAACAAAAAGGGTAAGAGTGTTAAACGTGGAATGAATATAGGACCATTTGACTTAATTGGCTTGTACTTTACAGGTGCCAAGCCACCCATTCTGCCCCAGTATTTAACTTCCTAGCAGAAAGATCCCTTTCCCGCCTCAACCAGGCTAAACTGCAACCCATCGAGTCAACCATATCTCGGCAGTTGGCTTTCACTGTCTCCAATTGAAAGGATAATCATGTTGATTGAGTAGGCGACTCTCCCCATCTATTAACATACTTATAAAGAGATTTTTTTCTAAGAATCAAACAACTTGACTTAAATAGCACAATTCACGTTGAACAACAACAATTTGAGTTTACATACGAGAAGAATCTCAGAACACTTAACAGCAGTGTGGTTTGATCCCGAACTGGAGAGGGGGGAGGTGCCCGAAGGCATGGTCAAAGAAAAGAACCTTCAGGTGTGATTTGAACACTGGCAAAGATGTGACAAGACAGAGTGATTGAGGCAAGGAGTTGTAGATTCAGGGCATATCACTGATATCCCTTCCTCAAATATTCAAAATCCACCATGCCTACCATTACTTTTCCCTGCAGCCCATTGAAACACTATCCTACGCAAAGGGCATTGCATAAATGCAAGTTGTTGTACTCGAAATCTTCACAGAAATTGAAATTAGAGAAATAGGATAGAATGGTCTCCTCCTCCAGGCAGGGGATGGTCATCCAAATCTGTCTGGAGCTACACAACAGCTGTGGAATGCCTCTCGCTCAGGGATTTACATAGGAACAGGAGTAGGCCATTCACCCTTCAAGTCTGTTCCTCCATTTAATTAGATCATGTCTGATCTGTACCTCAACTAATCCTTTCAATTCCAATTTCCCGCTTTCTCCACATATCGCTTAATACCCTGACCTACCAAAAATCTATGAACCTCACTCTTGAAGGCGTGGATGGATCCAACATCCACAGCCTTTTGAGAGAGTTCCAGATTTCTACCACCCTTTGAGTGAAAAAATGCTGCATGATTTCACTCTTAAATGGCCTGGTTCTAATTTTAAAACTTAGCCCCCTTGTTTTGGATTCCCCCACCAGAGGAAATAACTTTTCTGTGTCTACCTTATCGAATCCCTTTAACATCTTAAACACCTCAATCAAATCACCGCTCAACCTTCTAAACTCAAGGGAATACAATCCAAGTTTATGCAGCCTATCCTCGTAACTTAACCCAATTAGGCCTGGTAACATTCTGGTGAACCTGCATTGCATCCCCTCCAGGGCCAATATATATCTTTCCTGAGGTATGGAGCCAAAAACTGAACGCAGTTTACCCTCTCTGATGCAATCCCATTTTGTGGACTGACAATTAAGCCTTCTGCATTCAAAGTTGGAGAAAGCAGGTGTTCCATAGGATCATGTGTGGGGGTGAAAGGGAAAGAAATACACTCTTAATGAGCTAAAACAAAATATTACAGACTCCTTAGCTGCCAGGATATTGCAGTTACTGTGCGATTTGGGGGGCAGGGGATAAAAACACGTGAGAAAGAAATAAGGAGGAAAAAAATTCCAACAATCTGGAATCCATTAAGTCTGTGAGCACTTCGAGAAATCGAAGCAGCGGTGCCTTATTTTTGCTTATTTCAAAGATCTGCACATAGCAAAGACATCCAAAGATATAAATTGCATCTCGGGGGAATGAGAAGCAGAATTGGGGTTGCTTCTCTCCTTTTCAATGAGCATGTAGGAATAGGTAGCATCTCCAAAATGCAGATCTTTCATGTAAACATTTTACAATGGAACAGAAGCCTGGCAGGTAATGCTGGACTTGTGTGAATAAACTTTCAGAATTCACATCTTTCAGATGTTTTTTTTTCTGGCGTGCAGTATCAGGAATCTCTTTCAATATGACTTTCTCTACAATAGGAACAGGTGCAAGGTCCAGTTCAAGAGGGGTTCCAGCATAGATACTCAGAGCAAGCAACTCACCCACATTTCATTATTATTCCAATGATTTGGACCAATCCAAACCAAGACAATAACAGAGCCAGTTTCCTTTCTGAGGATTACAATGGTATTCTCAAACTTCTAAGTAAGCATGAGTGAATAAACAACTCCCTAAATCGGTATTGAACTCCCCCCTTCCAAACTAAGTAGGAAAATCCTACAGACTGCCCAACACACATTGTGCTATAGATCGCTCAAAACACCAATTCCATGGGATCCAATAACTAGTTTCAATCATAGAAAGACAATGATTTGACATAATACCGGGCCTTGCTGGAGTAGGAGTCGCCTTATAACTCGGGTGTCCTGTGAACCCACGGTTAGCCAAAGTATGGTACACTTTCAGCTTCATATGCACGAGTGCGCTCTGCATAGCAAACTGTCTGGTCAATTGACCCTATAACCTGGAAGTGGTAATGGAAACAGTAAAAATGGAAACAGCCATTTCTCTCTTCCCCCCGCCTTGCCCTCTTCTTTCCCTCTTTTAGATCATGACTGAAGACCTTCCTCTTTGACCCTGCTTAGTCACCTCATCCCTCCCCACGGTATGGCGTCAGGTTTCGCCATTGTTGAGTGCTACGAGATACATTGTGTGAAGGGCACTATATAAATCCAAGTTGTTGTTTCCACAGACTATTTATAACTCGGTTTCATGGACCCAAAAGACTGTTATAATAGGTGTTACCAATATATCGACTTCAACTAGAATTTATGAACCCAGACTAGACGTCTTTCTACAATGAGCTTTTCTCAATTAATTAAGAGCTGGCCTCTGTACATCCTTTGCCAAGCGGCTTTGTTCCAAGTGATGGTTTTCTTTCCAAGTGGAAAAAATGGTTTGTTTTGAGTTTAAAAAAANGTTTGTTTTGTGTAAGTCTCAGGTTTAGCAGTAATTCACCAATCAAAATACAACATATGTATAAAGACTTTCCCTTTACTGTCACAAGCTCAACTATTTTATGGAAATGTATTATAAATACTATAGTTGGAATTTACAGCACACAGATAAGGAAATAATGCACATTTTACCTGGTTTTCAAACAAGAGCTTAGGATTGGGGGTGAGGGAGAAAGCAAAATATTCTTCACTAATGCGCTGCACACTGTTAAAAAATAAGGTATGAGACAGGCAAAAAGGCATTAATACCTGATAGATTCTGTGTCAATATGTACAGGTGCTATCCTCTCCAAGAGAAATTTTACCATTTCCAAGAATGGGTTTGTAGGCTGTTTAGGATTACTTAGTTTTTTTGTGATTTCACGCTACGGAAAGACAAACAAAAGATTAAGGCTCAAAATACACAAGCTGTGTTACCCTCTCCTCCCCCAGAAATGTTCAATCTATCCCAATAGTCCAATGGAATTTTCGGCATTTACCACACATCCTTCTGCTTGTTTGCAGGAACAGCTTGGACTGACGAGCACATCCAATTGGGATTGAATTCGTTCATCCTCTTCTAAAGATTGATCAAATTTCTTCATGAAATCCTGGGCCTTTCCTGGATCTGGCAAGTTTCCTAATAAAAAAAATTGTATTGAACACGCCTTCTCACCAAATCATAACTCTTTAAGAGTAGAAAGCATATGTTTAACTTAGAATGAAATCCAGCCTGCTTCATGCTTCACGGCCACTCCCTCCATATCTCCTCTTCCCTCTCCGCTTTCATATCCCAAAGACCTGAAACCCTACCTCTTTGACTGTGTTTTTAATCACCTCCCTCAACCCCCAGGTTCCCTGTAAAACTTCAAAACATTCTCCCAATGTGAAAGGGGTAATATAAATGTAAGTTGCTTTATACTTTTGGAAGTGACCAAAATAGACCAGAGGAAATACAACCTTCTTCAGTCGAGTGCTTAAAGCTTCAGAAATGTAAAGAAGGAATACAAGATTTATACAGAGGTATTGTGGGACAGGCACGCTAAGTTGATTCCTTCGAACACAGATTAGCTTTCAGCCTCTGTGCCCCCACACTCTGGAACTCCATCCTACGGTCCCTTCGCATCGCTTCCTCCCTTGCCTCCTTCAAGGTCGGTCTCAAGACCTTTCTCTTCATCTAACCATGCCTTTGGTCTCCCTCCCACCTCTCTGCCTTCCCTCACCCCTACACCACCCCCCCTCCCCCATGCTCGGGCTCCGACACCTGACTGTTCAGCGCTCCTGACGTGAAAGGCGCTCTATAAATGTAATTTTGTTGTTGTAGATTGTTTTCTTTTAGGAAATAACATACTGGAATACAGTACATAGGTAGTGCGGGATACATATCAAATGCAAGGATTATTATTATTGCATGTGCAAGCGACCGCCAGAAAGGTGGAAAGCAAACTAGATGGAACTTGGATGGATGAGTGTTCCCAACGACTTCTGTTTTTGTTTTCAGATTTCCAGCATCTGCAGTATTTTGCGTTTTGTTTAGATCGAACTTGGGTCTTTTTTTCATCTAATAATAATAATCCTTGCATTTGATATAGCTTGTTTCATGTCTTCTAGACATCTCAAAGCGCTTCACAGAATATACTGTAAAGTGAATTGACTATATTTGTGGGCGAAACGCAGCATCCAATTGCGCACAGCAGTGTCCCACAAACAGTCGTGGATTGAAGTGACAAAATATTTTTTTTCCTTGAGGGACAATTATCAGGCGTGTGGAGTAAGGAAACTTGCCCAAGGTTTCGCCCTACCGGGAATCGAATTCAGTTCGCTTGCAAGATGAATGCTCTAACCACTGAACTACAGGACTCCAGGTCTAGCATTTCTTATGTAAAAAAAGTCAAAGAGGATGAACAGAAACCACATACAGGGTTTAAAAAGCCTCCTCGGACCCCAGGCAAATTTCCTTTTTCTCTCTGCAACATTTTTCTTGTAACTAAATACATTAAAAAAAATGTTTTCTAGCAGGGAATTAGAACAAACTTTTTAAAACGCAAAACTTAACAAATCTCAGTGATCCTGTTTCTCTCACTGATATTCACTGACCCTAGATATACATAAACATCCAACTTCGGAGGTGAGTAAGTGGGATGGAAAATTCCAAAGTTCACTCTTACAGCTGTTCCACAGAGCTACCTGACCGAATTTGGCACATGTGCTGGCGGTTTAGCCAATTCCAAGATAGATGATGATGGTCTTTTCAGGTCAAGTACATTTATACACTCCTACACAAAAAATATTGGGAACAATTTTGTATAATGCAGTTTGTTTAAAAAAATTATAAAACAGCACTTACTGGCAATGGTCATCACTTTGGAGAATATGGCTTTGTCAGTGGGATCAGACTAGAATTTGAAGACAAAACAGAAGACAGACATGATATGATTGATGAAACTATAATTATAATCCTTGCATTGATATAGCACTTATCACATCATCCAACAACAACAACAACAAGATTCCATTTATAAAGCGCCTTTCACGTCAGGAGGACGTCCTAAGGCGCTGCACAGTTGGGTCTCAAAGTGCTTCACAGGATATACTGTAAAGTGGATTGATTGTGCTTTTTGTGCGAAACCCTGCAGCCAGTTGCCCACAGCAATGTCCAAGAAACGTTAACCAATTTTTATTTTGGGGATTTGTTTGCCAGAACTCCCTTCTCTTTTCAAACAGTGCCATGGGATCTTTAACATCTCATGCCAGATGGGACCTCAGATGAATAATAATAATAATCCTTGCATTTGATATAGCGCTTTTCACGTCGGGAGGACGTCCTAAAGCGCGTCACAGAACACACTGTAAAGTGAATTGACTGTATATTTGTGGGCGAACGCGGCAGCCAATTGCGCACAGCAATGTCCCACAAACAGCCATAGATTGAAAATGACCAATTTTATTATTGTTTTTGGTTTTGGAGGGATTATTATTAGGCGTGTGGAGTAAGGAAACTTGCCCAAGGTTTCGCCCTGACCTGCCTGAAATTGAACTCGGGTCTCTCGCTTGCAAAGCGAGTGCTCTAACCACTGAGCTACAGGACTCCACGATAATGTCTTATCCAAAGGATGGGACCTTCGGCAATGCAATTCACCCACAAGCACTGCATTAGTGTTATCTTAGACGACGTAACTCCAAGTCCCTACATGGAGATTGAACTCACAACCTTCTAACTCAGAGATGAGAATACTACCACTGAGCCAGGCTGACACATCAATTGCAATTAATGATATTCTGAGTTTGTAGAGCACTTCCCTATGCCCCTCCTCTCTGCTCTCCCCCTCAATTTTACAAGTCAGATTTTGCTTGGTACTTACTTTTGTTTGTTTGTGTAGATCAAGCAAATCACGTACATGATGTCTCAGCGTGTTTTGACACTTCCACATTTCATTTAATGCTCTGTTGAAGAGAAGTAAAATAAGAGATCGACAGTAACTAGCCTGCTTACAATGAAACTGACATAGATTCAAGTTTTCTTTCATAAACCAGGAAGGAAAACCATTATGGCACAAGGAAAAATTAAAAATGAAAAACAAAAACATAGTATTTCACCGAAATACTCATTTAGAAACGTAGACATTTTTAGCATAGAAGGCAGCCATTCAGCCTATTGTGCCTGTGCCAATGTAACTTCTGTTTTTTTNGTAAATTCCCCATTCATTATTCCTGCTGTCAGCTCTTTTCCCGTATACCACGTTTTTACTGCTCAGGTACATATTCAGTTCCTTTTGAACAATTCTATTTATCCAGCTTCAAAGTGGATTAATAGAATCATTTGAAAAGAATTCTACATCCTGTAACAATCCTGAGTGAAGACATTTCTTCTAAGATCCTGATCGTTTTCCCGAGATGATCACCAATTACCCAACTGAAGGAAATAGCTTTACTGTTTCCCATTTAACTTAATATGTGCCCTTTCAGAATTTTTAAACACCGCTATCAGTTCCCCTTCTCAATCTTGTGTCCCTGATGTAACCAGCGTCTCTTCACACACACACAACATACACTAATAAAACTGAGCTACACCCTCTAGTCTCACTTATCTCTGACATTCTTCCTGTAATATGGCACCCAAAACTGAACACAATACTCCAGCTGTGGCCTAAACAATGTCCTACGCAATTTCAACACAACGTTTATAGTCAATACCTCTATGTAAATCAGAAATCCCCTATTTGTCTGCTCGGTTGCTTTTGCTACCTAACCATCCCACGTTAAGTTATTAATAGATTTCTACCCCCAATTCCTTTTATTCCTCTATTACTCTTCAGGTTATAAAGTTACTCCCCCATGTTCCCAAAATACAACATAATCATGCAAGTTTTTTTATGTTTAGCTAACATTTATATTACTATTTATATCATAGTGGAGTCCTGTAACTCAGAGATTGGAGCACTCGCCTCGCAAGCAAGAAACTTAGGTTTGATTCCCGGCAGAGCAAAATGTTGGGCAATTTTGCTTATTCCACAAGCCTCTGTTTACCTAGCAATAAGTAGGAACCCAGTTGTTAGTTGATTGGTGGATCGCTCTCCAGGGGTAATAATTCCTTCAAAAAAATTATAATAAATTGGTCACTTCAATCTTCGACTGTTTGTGGCTACTGTGCACAACTGGCTGCTGAATTTCGCCCACAAAATATACAGTCAATTCACTTTACAGTATGCTCTGTGAAGCGCTTTGCGACCTCTTGAAGACGCGATAAGGTGCTATATCAAATGCAAGGATTATTATTATTAGTTACATCTACAACCAGTCCTCAGTGTAAGGAAAATCCTCTACAATGCTGCTGCTGATAAGACAAAATTGCAGTGCCAAAAATATGAATACTGTGGCTATTAAATACCAGCTTAAAAATTGTTCGGCTACATGCATCTTTCGGGTACTTATTGAAGTACATTTTATCCAGATGTAAAATCTAATTGTACAATATGCAAACATATATGAACAGATCACCACTGATATTTGAATTTGGTTCAAGAATTTTTTTCATTTAAGTGCAGTTTAACTGCCTTAACGTGGGCAGAAGATAATTGAAAGAATAAGATTGGATCCTTGGGTATTTGTTAGTATATTTATTCATACTTTTAAATTGAGATTCTCACGTACACTGCCATGCACAATGAAGAAGGTCATTAAGACTTTACGTTTGACATCGTAAAATGTGGTTCCGAAGAGAATGCAGTAGACCCAAATTACAACTCAGCAATTGGGGGGGACACCACACCCACACACAAGATCTGAACCAGTGCTATAGTGATATTTTAGCACTTTTCTGTTCACTCCGCATGTGTACAGAAAGATGGTCAGCTCCATCGGTGCCTCAAAACACAGACCAGCGTGCAGTAAACCAAAATGACCGACTCCCAGGGCACTAAGTCTCCCTCCCTGAGTACCTTCCTACGCACTGCTTAAGTAGCAACACCAATATAATCTGACGCGACCATTTGGCTCCATGCGCTGATCAGGGTTGCAAGATGTTGTCGTGGTTGAAGCGACAATTGAGACGACATTTAGGAAATTTTCCTGGGGGTGCACACCGCATGTCAAGGTGCATATCCCAACCCAAGTGAGTTCTACTGTACATGGAGGTCTGACATTTTAGCCATGAGCTTCCAGAGTAACAATACTTACATTTACCAGAGCCGCGGGAGGGGGGGGGGGCGAGGGGAGGGGAGGGATGAAGAGAGCGTTAATCAAAAGCTCAGTCAAATAGGTAAAATAGGCAGGTCTTAAGGCAGGCTTTATTAAGCCATTAAAATGCAATGTAAGACAACACCAAATCACTATTCAACCAGCAGCATTGAAATTATGGAACAAAAAGAAATATGAATGAAGTTAATGATACAGTGCAGGTTAAACAAAGGTGGCACAAAAAAGTTAACAGTTACTTACGGGTGAGGGGTGTTTATCTTTAACAATTTAATCTTCATAACTGTTATATCTACAATAACAATGTGTTTCAGTATTTTGCTTATATCACTCAAAATTTTCGTCATGGAAAATAAATTCATCTGTCAGTCAGCTGTCAAAGTCTCAAAAACATCTGCTCTGAATATTCTCCAGTGCATCACTCCCTCTTCTGGAGCATTACAAAAAGCACTTTAGTGTTAAAATGGATACAAACTGAGCAAAGGCAGTAAGATTCAGTACTCCACTCATTCCAGCACCTCTGTACCTCTGACCGTAACTCACCTCAAGGCAGAAAACCCTCGTCCATGCCTTCATCATCTCCTGCCTCGACTACTACAATGCCTTCCTCGCCGGTCTCCACAGCTCCACTACCCACAAACTACAAATAATGCAGAACTCCATCGCCTGTATTTTCACCCACACTGTAACCCCATCACACCAATCCTCGCTAGACTCCACTGGCTCCCTATCACAGAACGGATCGATTTCAAGACACTCTCACTCGTCTACTAATCCCTTCACGCCTTGGCACCTCCCTCCCTTCCACCTTTCTGACCTGCTTTCTCCCCACTCCCACTACCCGCTGCCTCTGCCTGGTTGGCCTGGCCTCCTGTTTGTCCCTAATGCCCTACATTCCATCATCAGCGGCGGTGCTTTCAGCCACTACTCCCAGAAACTTTAGAACTCTCACCCCACAAATCTACTTTGCCTCCTCCAGTACCAACTCCAGGTTTGCTGATATTCTATCAGCTTGTCTGGCAGACATCAAGGCCTGGATGAGTGTAAACTTCCTGAAGCTGAGTATGGAGAAGACGGAAGTCATGCTCCTTGGCTCCCGTCAACGTCTTCATTCCTTCGGATCTAACCTCCCTGGGCGTTCCCTCAGACTCACCGAACCAGTGCCCGGTTCGACCCCCAGCTGTCCTTCCTTCCCCCCCCACATCCGGTCCCTGACCAAACCACTTTCTTCCACCTCCTCCACAATGCCCACCTCCGACCGTACCTTATCCCAAATGCAGCCGAAACCCTTGTGCATGCGTTTGTCACCTCCTGCTTGGATTACTCCCAACACACTCCTCGACAGTCTCCCAAGCTCTACCATTCAAAAGACCCAACTCATTCAGAACTCTGCTGCCCCCATACTGACCCGGACTAAACTTCGGACCCATATCTCACCAGTCCTGACTAGGCTCCACTGGCTCCCCATCACCGAACAGATCAACTTCAAGATCCTCACACTTGTGTTCAATCCCTTCGCTCCCTGGCACATCCCTACCGCTCCGACCTCCTAATTCCCCAATCCATCACCCGGCATTTTCCTCGTTGACTGTGCTTACAGGCACCTCCCCCCCACTCCCCCCGGCTCAGAGTCAGGCTCTGCTACTGTTAAGCGCTCTGAGACACTACCCTGCGTGGAGGGCACTATATAAGCGCAAGTTATTGTTGTTGTTTATCCTTCAATTATGTTCTCCACCAGATTTTATTGCCTTATTTTTTAAATACTTTTCACATGGACCTTACACATATCCCCTCCTGATGTGAAAGTTGCTATATATATATATAAAAAATATATATATAGGCTCTATATAAATATAAATTATATTATTGTATCTTGCAATCTCCCATCTCATTATGGCTTGCGATTCAACTTTGTTATGCTTCCATCCATTCCAGTATTTTGAAGACCTGGATAATATTCTCTCAATATTTTCTTAACTGAAGGTCAGTTGCTGTGCCTCAGGCAGCCTGAACCACTCTCCCAGAGTATGAACAGTAGAGTGCCAGCACGCTTCAATATCATCTCACCAGTGAATCAGTATGCAGCAGTGAAGCATGCATGTTTAAAAAGAAAATGCTAGAATCAAATGCACTTAAAAGGGAGTCCAGTGAATCATAATATTAACCACAGCCTCAAACTTTCAGCAATCAATGGAAACACCTCATGTTCCTTTTCATTTTGATCCATGTATCATTATGAATCAACTTATCACTACATTACGTTCCATCCATCACTTCTTAGACTTTTTATTTAATTAGGCCAAATTCTTTTCAAAAGTGCCAACACCTGCAATATTGGTCTCCAAACCACCTACCTTGGTGTCAAAAAAAAATTCTTTATTTTTATGTTAGAATGTGATTACTTATATTTTTGTGACCTTATGAGAAGCAAAGTATTCAATCATCATATTTAGGGTGTTGCCAATCTTCCCTCTGGAGGCAACAAATGATTTGTATTGATATTTAGTACCTCAGTAACTCAAGCTGGAGACGCTTAAGCACAACAAAGAAGTTCTACATGTGTCCAACAAATCAGTGATCCAAAATAAAAACCTGTTCTTAAAAGATAATATAGGACACAGGTCTGAAATTTTCTTGAAAGCCTGACGTCAGTAAGATGAAATACCAAACAAACCTAATAATAAATAATAATAATCCTTGCATTTGATATAGCGATATATATATAAATGATATATAAAGATATTTATATCCAAAGATATTTATAAAGATATTTCATATCTTCTAGACGTCTCAAACCGCTTCACAGAATATACTGTAAAGTGAATTTACTGTATATTTGTGGGCGAAATGCAGCAGCCAATTATGCACAGCAGTGTCCAACAAACAGTCATAGATTGAGTGACCAAATTCGTGTTTTTTTTNCTCCCTTGAGGGATTATTATCAGGCGTATGGAGTAAGGAAACTTGCCCAAGATTTCGCCATGCCAGGAATTGAACCCAGGTCTCTCGTTTGCAAGGAGAGTGCTCTAACCACTGAGTTACAGGACTCCACAATACACTTTAAATTTATACAGCGCATTTCAAGGGGAAAAATAACTGAAAGCAGTACATTTTGAATTTAAAAAATACAGGAAATTACACTTCTTATACAAATGCATAAAGTATTGAAAGCACTTTGATAGAATATAACCAAAGAGACTACAACAAATAATAGCTTGCCTCCAGTTTTTTCCAAATATTCCAGAAAGGCACCAACAGTAGATTTGTTCTTTCATAAAACTCTAACAGTTGTCATTTTCGCTTGCCTTTAATGCAATAACAATGGGATTTTGTTTTCTTCTTTAAAAATTAGATTTCCTTCCAAGCCAGAAGGACGAATAAGCAATCTACTAGGTGGCCTTGCGCAATTCTACTCTTGTTTCAGTCACCATAAGGTTACCAGAACACAGCACAAAGTACTCAGTTTTTCATTTCCTCTCTTCTAGATCAGATCCTAATCTCTATTAATCCTCAACTGATGTAACCTCAGTGGGGAGCCATCCTGAAAATATGCACAATAATAAAATTGTGCCATTTCAAGTACAAAATTGATCTGGTCTCAGCACAGGCTGATTTTGTTTGCTATTATTAAATAATTAGGAACATAAAAAATGTACAGCACAAGACAATTAAAACAATCCCAAAGTCCTTTTTTTAAAAAAAAGATAATCATACGCTCTTGAAAGTTATACTATTCCTTATTGCATTTTTTTTTAACTGTATAGCTATCAAATCCAATTAATGAAAGCATTAGTCAATCTGCAGCCTTAAATGCAGACACCCATTGATTAAACGCTCCGCAATGCTACCCCGCATGAAGGGCACTATTCAAAAAGCAAGTTGTTGTTATTGATTTCCCAACAGCAACCTTCTGGTCAATGGCTCCACATATGGAAGGAACATGGTTAACAGTGTTCCCTCACCAAAACTAGATAAGAAGCCAACAGACATGGGGTAACAGTGACCATCCGCCAGATGACAGGATGTGAGGAGCTGGGCCTAACAGACGCCTGGCATGCCCTACATTTGCACCAGAGGGAATAGTGTACTGGCCAATTATAGCCAAACAAAATTGGTCACCCACCTCAAGACTGTTAGTGGGAACTGCTGTGTAGAAATTGGATGCTGCTACAAATACTTCTACAGTAAAATAAGTGATAAGTGCTCTGACAAGTCTCGACATGATAAGGTGCTATATCAAATATACACAATATATATACACATTTATAGCTATATTAAATGTATATATTTTATGAACAAAATGATTATTACTCACTTTCTATTCCAACTACATAAATCCTACTTGAAACAGGATTATTTTTTAATCCAAGCCACTTCACCCGTCTAGAGTGTATCGGCAGTGTTGCTATCTAGGATCATGCCCCTCTCAGTACAAGACTACACTGGACAACCTGTCCCTGTAGGTTCATTGCTGGAGACTCTGAACCTGTCCCCGTAAGTTTATTGCTTCAAGCGTTCTGAGACGCTACCCTGCTTGGAGGGCACTATATAAGTGCAAATTGTTGTTGGAGACTGAACCCCTTTCTGCTGGATGATTCTGAATTCATGTCATCAGTGATAAATAAAATAATTCTCTTTTTGAAGGAGAATGATAGCATAGATCTCTCCTAACTTTCTACTGAGTCAGCCAAACTAGTAATTAGAGGGCACATTAATGCCTCCACATCGGCATTAAACACCTCAAGCTCAATCACGATGCAAATTAGAATAGAGTGGCAGAATCGGAAGTCCATTCCTTTCTCAGTGATCCCATGTCGCCTTTGACATATAAGGCAAACTACTAAGTCAGTGCTGAAATCTGGTCTCTTAGGAACATAGAAATTGCTAAACAAAAAAAGACCAAGCTCCATCTAGTTCACCTTCTACCATCCTGGTAGTCGCATGCTACAATAACAATCAAGATGTTGACTAATCATGACAATCAATCTCTATCGATTGGTTTTTCACAGACTCAGGCATGAGGCAAGGAAAACCTGACCGTGGTAGAAAGCTTTGGGAACCGAAGGTCCAACATTGCTAAGGATACTACACTTGCCATAAGTCAAGATATTTCTGTCCCTTTCCTATAGCAGAATACTGATAACCCATTGATTCAACGGGACAGAAAGTGAAGTCTCAAAAATGCCCCACTTAATTTTATCCAAATAACTAATCATATGCAAGATTGTATTACAAAATGGTGAAACTTGATATACGATTGTTTGCAATTACGTTTCGTTTGCAAATTTTTTTTTGTGCTTGTTACAAAATAATTTTTAGAAAACATTTAGTATATTAGAGTGTTGGTACAAAACAACAGCTACAACGACAAAGTAAGGTTGATCCGTCAATAGTCATTTATCAAACTTTAAAATACGCACTTTACAGCATTAGGGTCCAGTGTTGCATAAAGATAGTACAAACACTTCATTCTTTCTGATGTCTCCAAGTTGTGAGGTACCATATATTGGGCAAATATCCGTTCAACAAGTAATCTGTGGAGTAGAATCAAAGCACATTACAAGCTTAATACTGTATACATCTCACATTGGCATTAATACTAGAAACTAAAGTCTGACCAAGCGCAGGACAAAATTCAGTGTGTCAGTAGATCACTAGTATGTTTTAAAAAAACACACAATAATTTAAAGCATTTCAATCTTAATCATGCTAAAATAGTACCCAAATTGTACAATGCTTCACACTGTACACAAGAGGTCACTCTTCAAACCCAAGGGCAATTTACCTGAACATTCGAGCAAGAATTATTTTTATTCACCACAATTTTCTATTCACCTCAATATAGCCACATTGTCAGCTTAGTTTACCCTGCAGAATCTACTGTTCCTCTTCCCTCAACTATTAGCCAGTTATGCACACAGAATTTAAGGATTAAACTAACACAAAACATAATTCCCGTTACACAAGGCTCAAGTAGGGTAGCCTGGCTGGTTTGGAAGGATTCTTGCCTCAAGAGTCAAAAAGGTTGTGGATTTAAGCTCCTGTGAGGACTTTGAACTTGCATTCTAGGCTAGCACTCCAATGCAGTGTTGGAGGTGCCTTCTTTTGGAGAAGTTAAACTAAGTCTCCTTCTGCCTATACAGGTGAAAGTTAGATACTTGTGGCATTGTTCAAAAACAAAAAGTAGTTTTTAATGAAGCCCTGGCCAACCATCCCAAAATTAAAAATTGGGAACTCATAAGCAATACTTTTATACTTCCTTTCCAGAAACATAACATTTACGAGTCAGCCAGATGAAATGGCGGGAGGGGAGGACCACCCTGCATTAGATTGCAAGTTTTTAAAGTTTCAATTAATTTCTTTGACAATATATTGACTACTGGCAAAATTAATCAATTGTGCAGTCTGAGGCAAATTATCAAAATAAAGCATTTAGGGGACCAAAGTAATGACCAATTCAGACATATTATCATGGTACGCAGATTGTGGTGTTTAATTAGATATTAATTTGTGAGCATTCACCTGATGTTTGACCAACGGTTTTCAGTTGAGATTGTATTTGGATCGTGAAATTAATTTGAATTACAAATGTGATTTTTTAAAAATTAAGTTCAGTCAACTGCAAAGAGCTATACTTTGCAAAATTATTGGATCTGTGTAAGTCAATATATAACCTAGCCAGAAAATCTGAATCGCCAGCACATTATTAGTTAAAATTGTTTCTCTTTGTTTTAATAAGTAAAGACTTATTTCTTCCAGATGCCTTAAAACACACAGTGTCAATCTGTAGCTGAGCTCACAGGGAAATGACCAATTTTCAGACCACCACTTCTGAAACCTCAGCAGCATACAAAAGCAACTTGGATAACTTAATCTTTAGTTCTACCTTTGTCTCAGTGTTGCACCTTCACGACCATCATAAGATAACTTGGCTGAGTTCAGCATGGCAAATTGCAAGAGCAGAACTCACATCACAGCTTATTAAAGCATTTTTCCCCAATTTGAAACAGATAGAAAACAGATTTAAGAATGGGTTTTGAATAACACACAACCAATTATAGTTTTTAATATTAAGTTTCTTTGAAGAAGCATTCAAATTGTAATTGGACACGATCGTAAAAAAAAATCTGAAAACTAACGGTCAAGTAGCAGGCAGAGACGCTCAACAATTGTTCCATTAATCACTACAAACTGAGAAAATACAACTCAAACATCAGGAGCGTAAAATCACAGAATGTTACAGAAAATTTGGACCATCAGGTCTGTATGGGTGTTTTTCCCCACATGAGCAGAGTGTAATTCCACTCCCTGCACATTTTAATATGCTTTTTCAAAACTCCCAAGGCGAGACACTGGGCAATGATTTGCTGGAATCGAGTTAACGTTCTTGCAGTCTTGGTGGTCTCCAGTGCACTGCTGACGACAGCCCAGCCGACCTGACTCATCGGCAGGATTTGGAGGGACAGATCCATCACTGGGGGCAAGGAATCCCCCCACTCAGGTCCTGTTAACACAAGCCAAAGCCCTAAAGGGTAGGGTGGACCTAGCTACACAAGCAGCCGGAAAGCTTACCATGCAGCGATATCAATGGCAAGCTAAATCCTGATGATGTTTTAGATGGTTAGACTCAGCAGTACCCCAACAAACACTCTGGGGTCCCCAAGCCTTGGCTCTTGCAACCTTTGCCTAATATTCTCCGGAACTAGATAAGAAGGGTGCGTCTCTCTAGCAAGAAAGTGCATGTCTATTCTAGACATGGTAATTTCCAGTGTTATTGGTATGCATGAAACTCTCAGTCTGGTTTGGATACTCTTCCAAGTATTGTGATGGGTTTTTACCTTGCTTCCTATTCCCTTGGAAAAGGATTGATGGTGCCTGCCTTAATCACACATTAAGGTTGAGAATTCCACATTCCAACCACCTTCTGTGCAAATTTCCCTTCAATTCTTTTTGTCATTACCATAAAGTTTGGGGGGTTGGAGGAAGAGGAAAGTCGGGGGCTGGAATGAAAGGTAGCTGGAAGCACAATTTAAGAGTGAGGTTAAAGGCAGCCTTTAAAAGGTGGGAGGGAGGAAATGCAGTGGAAAGACTCTGGGATGAAGATAATAATAAAAATAAACAGGTTGTACTGCAAAGTGTAGAAATTCTGACTGTGTATTTTGTGGATGAACGCGGCAGTCAATTTGCACAAAGCAATGATCCACAAACAGCCAAGGAGTTTCAGGGAATGGGAGCAGAATGGCTAAAAGCTCACTTAGCACTGTGCACCTAATAGAAACAAACTTACTTGTCATCAATGCTGTTTTGGTAATATATATGCAATAGTTTGTCTTTAATCCATGAAATCTGTTTGGAAGCTTCTTTTCCTGCTTCCGCTTGTAAACAGTATTTCTTGTAGATCTGGGCTAGCCCCATCATAGCTTCTCTTCTCACTCTCCACTGAGGAGAAAAAGAGAAGAAATGGTTAGTCTACAAAACTGCTTGTAGCACGGAGAGAAAAAAAATGGACCTCTTCTTACCCTTTTGTCCAATGTTCTTTCTCTCACAAAATTAAGCAGCTGGTCGTTGACTAGTGAGAGGTCTTTTTTAGCAGCAGTTACAATGGATACAATAACATCATGCCTGATGGCTTCTTCTGGATCATGTGACCTCACTTTGAGAAATTCTGTAAAACAAAATCCGGAATTTTTCAGACTGTCCGATCAGTTTAGTTACTGCTGTTTTCCAATCTCACTGCTTTTCATGTCTTATGATAATTCACTCAGTTTTGAACAGATCAAATCTGCCTTGAAAGTTCATTATTCCATTTTATCAAATCGGATAATATAGCAATTCTGAGTACAAATGAAATGGGAACTTGTTATGAACTTTAAGTGCACTTTACGTAGAAATTGAACAGAGGGTCTGTGGGAGAGAGTTCCAGAGTTTGGGGCTTTGTGACCGAAGATACTGCTACCGATGGTCGAGCAGAGGGGACGAGGGACAAACAGGAGGAGCCAGAGCCAGCCGAGCGGAGACTGATTTTTAACAAGCTAAGAAAACAACAAGTGTGTGGAGTACGGAGACTTGCCCTGCCCAGGAATCGAATCCGGGTCCTCTCATTTGTGAGGCGAGTGCTTTAACCAATATGCTACAGGACTGCTGCATTTTCACCCACTCGCTGAACTAAGTGGTATGATTGACCGCTGTACTAAAGGTCTAGAGTTATTTTCCCTTTCTCTTCCATTTCCTTCAGCTGGGATACTATTCCAGAGGTTATGGTTGTGCATTGGCAAATTAGTTATTAACATTAAAACAGTGCCTTAGAAAGCTTAATCGGTTTGATTAGAAATGAATAACAAGAATAATAATCCTTTCATTTGATATAATGCCTCATCACGTCACAGAATATAGTGTAAAGTGAATTGACTGTATATTTTTGTGGGTAAAACACAGCAGCCAATTGCACACAGAAGTCTCCCAAATACAGTCGTGGATTGAGCGATCATTTTTTTAAAAAAAGGAATCATTCCCCCAGAAAGAGATCCACCAATCGACGATCAACTGGGTTCCTAATTACTGCTTGGTAAATAGAGGCATGTGGAGTAGAGAAACTTGTCCAAGGTTTTGCCCCACCCAGGAATCGAACCCACTTGTAAGGCGAGTGCTCTAACCAATACACTACAGGACTCCTGCATTTCCACTCACCTGCTGCTCTAAGTGCTTTGTATGATTGACAGCTGCAAAGTGAATAATCAGTTGTATGTGGGGGGGGATTTTGGGGCCAGGGCCCTGGGTGAGACTCCGTACTCTTTTCAAATATTGCCATTCAATCTTTATGTCCACCTAAATTGGCAAGTGAGGCCTCGAATGGCATTATTTGAAAAAAATACTGTTGGCGGGAATTAAATGCGTTCCAAGTCTCAATGTTGGGCTGGAACCCAAAACCTTCTGACTCAGAGGCTTGAATGCTATCAACTGAGCCAGGCGGACACATAATGGAATAGATGTACAGTAGTATTAAAATCTACAGAAGTGGGCTGTACTGGAAGGTGCCCGGGTTGTCACACCATATCTATGCTTTTCTGAAAGGCACACTTCACAGCTATTAAAGCACATGTAACAAGCCTTTGGAACTCTCTCTCACAAAATCACCAAAAAAATCAGAGCTTAGTGTGGGTGAGAATATGAGCAGCAGAGTTCTGCATCAGCAGCAACATCAGGCCATCTAAACAGATGGAGAATGTCTCCGATGCATCGTCACAGAAAGTCATCAGTTTTCACTCGCAACTACATGGTGGGAATGTGGAAAAATGGCTAGGAGAAACAGCATTTCTTTGTGACAAATTCTACAAAAATTCTATGCCGCTTCCATGAACAGGGGTCAGATAGAGGAAGGTTCCTTGCATCGCCAAAGAGTTTCTGTGGTTAAGAATCAATACTTATGGATGCAATTACAGCTTCCTGAAAGTTCCATGTGGAGCAAGGAGATTATATATTAATCTGGCTGTATTTTTAGGGGGTTTGTGTAGAATACTGCCACTGACCTCAGAAGAATTAATAGATTTGGCTGCACAAAGTCAAATGCACAAAAACTGGATATAATCCTACTTTCTGCAATAACTCCATAAACCTCATCTCCCTCAAAAGATTAAATTGAGTGGAGCTCACGATAGGGCAGATCATATGTAAACCATGCAATCGGTGGGCTTCATAGATCAAGTAGCCTTTCCTTTGAAAAGACATCAGAGGGAGGGGCGGAAAGCAAAGGGAAAAAGTGTACTCTGTTCAAAACAATCTCCCAAGATAACAATAGCTCATCAGCATCGTGATTAACCAATCATATGGCCAATGAAGTCAGTGCACAGATGCGCAGGAAAACCAGCCTCCTCCATCAGCGCACATTGTGCTTCAAAACAAGACATTGTGCATCAAAGCCCATTACTACACAATGATGTATTTCCACTGTACTTCTATAAAGATTCCCTCTGAGACACCTCTTTTCAACACTGAAGAGCCCAAGAAATCATCCTTGATGTTATCCTAGGTCAAGAACACTGCATAAATTCAAGTTGATGTTGTAGATTATCTTGTTGTTTCTCAAAGCTCAACAGTCTAAGACTGTGGATCAGCTTGGTTGCTTTCAAGGCTACATCTGCTCTGTGACCAGGAATTGCGTGCAGCACTTCAGGGGTGGTTTGAACAGAGCACTGTACAAATTAATCATGACTTGGGAATCTGAACTGAACTGATTTAGTAATATTGCCCAGCAACTCATTTGCCCCACTTTGCGACTGCCTCACACTGTTTGGACACAGTGAGATTCAAGTCATCTATCACCCTCTAACTTCTTCCTTGACAAGTTTGATCCTGTCCATCAAGCTTCCTATTTTTATTTCCTGCACGTAGCAAGTTGCATATCTAAATTTAGTCTTTATCAGGATAACCGCAAAAACTGAAGCTTCTTTTACTGTACTGCTCACATAGATTTTCATTAAGAAACAAACAAATAAGTGGTATTAGTTTAAAAAATATCGGTTAGGGAAACAGCATACCAATATTTAAAACCAAAATTCGTTTCACTTACCAGTGAGATCTTTTGCTAGATCTGGATGGTTTGTAAGGCAGTGGCTCGCAAACTTTACACACTCAAGACGGATAGGAACATGAATATCATTGAACCTGTAAAAGCGAGTGGAGAGGTAATAGGATAGAAATAACCTTCAATTTACAGATAACAAGTCTCCAAGAACCACCGAACTTTACAGCACAAAGAAAACCTCTCAGCCCTTTGTGTCTCTGCTAAATCTTTGAAAGAGCAATCCATTCAGTCCCATTTACCTGCCTTTTCCCCATATCGCTGCAAATTACTCCTTTTTAGATGCTTATCTAGTTCCTTATTGAAAGCTAATATCAATTCTGCTTTCTTCTAGTCTTCAATTTTTGCATCATCTGCAAATGTAGAAATTGGGTCCCTTATCCCAGAATCCAGATCACTTATATGAATGGAGAAAATCAGTGTTCCCAACATGGAATCCTGGCGGACACCACTGTTTACATTTCTCCTTAGAACCTCCGCTCTACATTTCCTACCATTTAATCCATTGTACCGGCCTCCATTAACACTGTGCACCATAATTATCTTTTAAACAAACCTCCTATGCAACACTTTATCAAAGGCTTTCTGAAATCTATGTACACCACAACCACAACATAACCTTTATCAATTCTCAGTTATGTCAAAGAACGTTTTTGGATTGTGGATTGAGTGACCAAATTTTCAAGCAAGACTGTGTTTAACAAATTAATACTGACCGTCTTTACTTAACCTATGTCTTTAGTATTATTAATCCCATACTAAAGCTTTTAAGTTTGCTCACTATGGACATTAGGCTGACTAAGTCTATAGTTACTCATCTTATCCCATCCTTTTTTGCAACATTAGCATTAACAATCCTCCAGTATTCTGGCAAACTTTCAAATCCAAGGATATTTGAAAAATTACAACCATGTACTACCTCCTCTCAGCTTCCTTCAGCATTCTCAGATACATGACATCAGGTCCCAGTGACCTGCCCACTTTGAGCTCCATTCATTTTCTATAACCACTTCCTTTCCTTATCTCTTCTAATTGCTGTACATTCTCCTTTTGTACACTCAGTTTTGCGCCTTCACACTCCTGTGAAAAACGGCACAATACTGGAATTCAAAATCTCAGCTACACCTTTATTTTCCACGGCTAATTTCCCTTTTCATCTTTATTGGCCCTGCCTTTTCTTGAACTATTCTTTTGCTTTGTATATGTTAACAATGTACTTTTAGGATTTTTCTTCATTACCTGCTGGTCTCTTAACCCCCCCTTTGTCCTTTTGAATCTCCATCTTTGCTTCACTTCCATGAAATTTCTATGTCTGTTTTTTTGCATTATCTTAGATTTATTGTAAATCTCTTCTCATTTCCCTACTCTTCCAAGGAATCCTAGTTTTAGCTGACTTAAGTGATTACGGGAATATTGTTTTGTATCAGTAATCTATATCCTATTGTCTCATATTTCCCACCCTCTCTGCTATGTTGCCTTAAACCCTTCCCCACAGTATTCACCCAGCAAGGAAATTAGTCCCAGCAAGACAATTGGGATAGTTTCAGCTACAAGAACTCCCCTCTATTCCCTCAACTATGGAGTCTTCCATCACCTCCATTTCTGGACTTCTACTCCTTTGATGAGTGCTTGCTCCACACTACCTTGACATTTCTCATACTACCCTCCTTTGAATAGTGATGCCTTGCCACAGATATTTAATAATAATACTTTCATTTGATATAGCGCCTTATCACGTTGTTGAAACGGCTCAAAGCACTTCACAGGATATATGTATTTTGTGGGCAAAACGTGGCAGCCAATTGCGCACAGCAATGCCCCACAAACATTTGTGGATTGAGTGACCAAATTTTTTTTTGAAGGGATTATAATGCCCAGGAAGCAATCCGCCAATAATGTTATTATTAATAATAATAAAGTACTTTACAAGTCGGGGGATATCTCAAAAGATCTTCACAGGATTTTCCAAAAAGTTTAGCAACTGTGAGCAGAGAGTGAGCTACGTCCAGAGTGAGAAGGAATTGGGTGAGCGTGGGAATTAGGTGCAGAGGGGGAAGTATATCTTCTAATCGACAATAATACAGGGATAAATAGAGTGAGAGGAGAGAATGACCTGGCAGATGATGTGTGAGGAATGTGGTATGTGGGAGTTGATGGGAGGGCAACATGAGCCCGAGTGACTTCACCTGCAGCAAATGTCTGCAACTGAGAAAGCTCCAGCTTAGAATAGCTGAGCTGGAGTCTCAGGTGGAGACACTGCGCAGCATTAGAGATGGGGAGAGCTTCCTGAAGCCAGACACTCCCACGAGTCCCAGGGAACATTCCGTTGCCAGCCACGGACAGGTGACTGGGTGACGGTCAGACGGGCGCATAAGAGGACCCAAAAGAGAGGGGCAGAGGAACCCCAGGCTTTAACCTTGTCCAACAGGTATGAAATACTTGCAACCCGTGTGGACAAGGAAGTCTGTGAGGAAGATAGGCAAACTTACTCCAACACCTCTATACAGGAGGCCACACAAAGGGGAATAGTCAGAAAGAATATAGTGGTAATTGGGGATGAGACTGTCAGGAAGACTGACACACTTTTCTGCAGCCGTCGCAAGGAGACAAGAAGACTCTGTTGCCTTCCTGGGGCCAGGGTGAAGGACGTCACTTCTGGGCTGGAGAAAAATTTGAAGCAGGAGGGAGTGGATCCAATAGTTATGATTCACATAGGGACCAATGATGTAGGTAGGACAGGTACGAACGAGTTGAGGAGCAAGTTCCAGGAATTGGGAGTTAAGCTAAAGAGTAGAACATCAAAGGTATTAATATCGGGATTATTACCTGGGCCAGGGGCAAATTGGTACAGGCAAAAAAAAATTAAAGAGCTGAATACCTGGCTAAAATAATGGTGCGGAGGGCAGGGGTTTCACTTTATAGGCCACTGGCACCAGTATTGGGGGAAGACAGGAGCTTTTCCAAAGGAATGGACTCCACCTAAACAGGGCTGGGACAAACGTCCTGGGAACACGAATAAATAGAGAGGTAGACAGGGCTTTAAACTACTAAGGGGGTGGGGGGAGTAAATTCAATCACATGTAATCCATTACAATTAAAATTAGGACCGATGAAAGTGGGAGAGCAGATTAATCAGGGAGATGAGCAAAGGGTGTCAAGCGGGAAAAGGAAGCCCAGGGATAGGGTACTGGTGAATAGGACTAATAGCCCAAAGTCAGAATTAAAGGTGCTATATCTGAATGCGCGAAGCATTCGAAACAAGATAGATGAGTTAAATGCATAAATAGAAACAAACGGGTATGATCCAGTAGCCATCACCGAGACATGGTTACAGGGAAATCAAGGGTGGGAGCTAAATATTCCAGGGTACGTGGTGTATAGGAAAGATAGGCAATGTGGTAAACGAGGAGGGGGGTGGCTCTGCTAATAAAGGATGGGATAAAAACAGTAGAGAGGAAAGATTTTAAATCAGAAAAGCAGGAAATAGAGTCAGTATGGGTAGAGGTACGTAACAACAAGGGGCAGAAAACTAGTGGCCCCCAAACAGCAGTCACAGTATCTCTCAAGGTATAAATCAGGAAATTAGCAGAGCATGTAGTGAAGGAAAAACATTAATTGTGGGTGATTTTAATCTGCACATAGATTTGGACAACCAAATTGGGAAAAATATGATAGAGGAAGAGTTTATAGAATATATTAGGCATAATTATCTAGATCAGTATGCCGAGCAGCCAACCAGGGAACAAGCCATATTAGACCTTGTTTTGTGCAATGAAGCAGGGCTGATCAGCAAACTGGAAATTAAGGCTCCTCTAGGGCAAAGTGATCATAATACGATGGAATTTAGCATTAAGTTAGAGAGAGAAATAGTTAAGTCCGAAGCAAAGGTTTTAAATTTTGCTGGTATGAGAGAGGATTTAGCCAAAATAAACTAGGAAATTAGACTGAAGGATTTGACAGTAGACCAGCAATGGCAGACGTTTAAGGAGATAGTGCAAAATTCCCAGCGAGCACGTATTCCTTTGAGGAATAAGAATGCCACGGGAAAGGTGGCCCAACCGTGGCTAACTAGAACAGTTAGGGAAAGTATAAAGTTAAAGGAAGAAGCCTATAAAACAGCTAAGATGAGTAGTAAACCCGAGGATTGAGAGAACTTTAGGGATCAACAAAGAAAACCCAAAAAGGGAGAAAATGGAATATGAGGGCAAACTAGTGAAGAACATAAAGACAGACTGTAAGAGTTTTTATAAATATATAAAGAGGAACAAGCTGTCAAAGGTAAATGTGGGTCCGCTACAGGCAGAGACGGGGCGAATTATAATAGGGGACAAAGACATGGCAGAGTCATTAAACAAGTACTTTGCTACTGTCTTCACCTTAGAAGACACTGAAAACCTACCAAGAATAGAGGGTAACCAAGAAGAAAATGTTAGCGAGCAACTTGGAGGAACTAATATTAGTAAAGAAATGGTTTCAGGTCTTAAAACTGATAAATCTCCTGGACCTGATGGCCTACATCCTAGGGTTTTAAAAGAGGTGGCTACTGAGATAGTGGATGGCTTGTCTTTGATCTTCCAAAATTCTCTGGATTCTGGAACGGTTCCCATTGATTGGAAGATTGCAAAGGTAACACCACTATTTAAGAAGGGTGGGAGAGAAAAGATGGGGAACTATAGACCAGTTAGTCTGACATCAGTGGTAGGGAAAATTCTTGAGTCCTTAATTAAAGATGTCGTTATGGGATTCCTGGAAGACCATAACAAGATTAGGCAGAGTCAACATGGCTTTACAAAAGGGAAGTCATGCTTAACTAATCTTTTAGAGTTTTTTGAAGATGTATCTAGCAGGTTAGATAGGGGGAACCAGTAGATGTAGTATATTTAGATTTTAAAAAGGCATTTGACAAAGTGCCACACAAAAGGCTATTGCACAAGGTTAAGGCCCACGGGATTAATGGGAACATATTAGCATGGATTGAAGAGTGGCTAACGGGTAGAAAACAGAGAGTAGGGATAAATGGGTCATTCTCGAATTGGCAGGATGTGACTAGTGGAGTGCCACAAGGATCAGTGCTTGGGCCTCAGCTATTTACAATTTACATCAATGATCTAGACGAGGACATTGAATGTAACGTATCTAAATTCGCGGATGACACTAAACTAGGTGGGAGAGTAAGCTCTGAGGATGATGCAAAAAGATTGCAATGGGATATAGATAGGCTCGGGGAGTGGGCGAGTAGGTGGCAGATGGAATTTAATGTGGGGAAGTGTGAAGTTATTCACCTAGGTAGAAAAAATAGAAAAACAGATTATTTTCTAGAGGGGGAGAGATTAGATAGTGTTAGTGTGCAGGGGGATTTGGGTGTCCTTGTACACCAGTCTCAAAAAGTTAGTTTGCAGGTGCAGCAAGCAACTAAGAAGGCGAACGGTATGTTCGCGTTCATTGCAAAAGCTTTAGAGTACAAGAGTAGGGAAGTCTTGCTGCAACTGTACAGGGCCTTGGTGAGTCCGCACCTAGAGTATTGTGTGCAGTTTTGGTCTCCTTATTTAAAAAAGGACATACTTGCCCTAGAGGGGGTGCAGCGTAGATTCACTCGGTTAGTTCCTGGGATGAGGGGACTGACCTATGAGGATAGGCTGAATAAACTAGGGCTATATTCTCCAGAGTACAGAAGAATTAGGGGGGATCTTATTGAAACATAAGATTCTTAAAGGGCTGGATAAAGTAGACACTGAGGGTCTGTTTCCCCTGGTAGGAGAATCTATAACCAGGGGTCACAGTCTTAAAATTAAGAGTCAGCCTTTTAGAACAGAGTTGAGGAAACATTTCTTCACTCAGAGGGTAGTGAATTTATGGAATTCACTACCCCAGAAGGCTGTAGATGCTCAGTCCTTGAACATCTTCAAGGCTGAGACTGATAGATTTTTAAAAAAGAGGGATTAGGGGATATGGGGATAGGGCAGGTAATTAGAGTTAGGTCTGAAGATCAGCCATGATCTTATCGAATGGTGGGGCAGGCTCGAGGGGCCGAATGGCCTACTCCTGCTCCTAATTCTTATGTATTTTGTAGGCAAAAGCGGCAGACAATTTGCACACAGCAATGTCCACATACAGCCAAAGTGAATGACTAAATTTATTTGTAGGACTGTTGGCCAAAATACAAGGTGAGAAACTGCCTTCTCTTTTGGAACAGTGCCAATAGGATCTTTAACATCCACCTGAACAGGTAGACAAAACCTCAGTTGGGTGGAGGAGACAAAAAGAGAAAGAATACATACCTTCCCAAATAGCAATGCCATAGTGGTTTGTTCTGGGATGCCAGCTCAGAGTCTTTTGCTCCAAACATTTTAGCCAGTAACTTAACAACTGACAAACGCTCCTCATTATCATTGCTCTGTAAAAAAAAAATAGAATTAAGGAGCACTTTAAAAAAACAGCCACCAACGATAATCTTTGCATTGAATAAAGTTCCAATAAAGGTCAAAGCAATCTCAAAGTGCTTCACGGGTGATTGCCATGAAGTGAATGAATGTACCTACAGGTGGACATAGTCTATGTTCCACAAATAGCCATGAAGTAAATTGTCTGCAAATATGCACATGTATCCATCACTATTTGTAATAGTGTCAGAGGAAACTGCTTTATCATTTGCAGCAAAACATCTATTGAGGTAGCCATTGAGGAACTCATTTTAAACAAGCACTTAAAAATATCAAGGAGGTGCTATTAAAGAAAGTGTCTACAAATAGAATTATGAATTAATGTATATTTTAACTAAACATCACGCAACAAGAGAAAGCAAACGCATAAATGTCTCACAAGACTGATTAGGCAAGAAAGGGCTCTTTCACATCTCTTTTTGGGTTCAATTACAACACGAAACATAGGAACAGGAGTAGGGCATTCAGCCCCTCAAGCCTGTTCCATCATTCTACTAAATCATGGCTGATCTGTACCTCAATTCCACTTGTCCACTTTTTCCATATCCCTTGATACATGAACAGGTATTATATTGCACATCCTTTTTTCTCTCTCTCGCTCTCTCTCTCTCCCCCTACCCCCCAAAGTTGTGGGCCAGTTTCATGAAGATCAGCCATCCCTCCAGTAACCTTTTTACAGAGCTATTCTTTCATTTGTGAGCTTACACAGTGAATGTCAGCAGGCTATTCACCCACCAAGGCGTCATTGTTGATTTAATCCCTCCGAGACGCTACCCGCGTGAAGGGTGCTATAGAAATGTAAGCTGTTGTTGCTGATCCCATTACCAGGCGTCCACGCTTTATTCCAGCAGGTTTTGCGATTGGATCCCTGCTGATTCTCCCCCCGTCAGGCCTAGAGGTTCATTGTACCGTCTTACTGCTGTGCTACCCTAGCAGAGAGCAGCCAACTCCACACTGGCTAGAAATCATTTCAGGGTTTTGGCGGTCTGAATGGCTGTTGCATTGCAAACTATGGGAATTTACAGCACGAAGGTGGCTATTCAGCCCATTGTGCCTGGCTGGCCTTTCTAAATAAGTTTGGAGTCCCACTGTGTTTCTCTAAACCAGTGATGACCAATCTTTTTGGTTGGCCAACAAAATAACATTTTCTTGATTGAATATTTCTTGATTATGGCATAAATCAAGAAATACTAAATCAAGAAAAAATTGGAACCAAACACAGACTTAGCTCGACTAGTGCAAATGTTCGGCGGGCCACTTCCAGCCCCAGGGCCATGGATTGGCCACCACTGCTCTAACGGTTCAGTGTTTTTTGTCAAACGACAACAAAAAATGACATTTGTATAGCACCCTTCATATCGGGAGGACGCCTCAAGGCACTGGACAGTCAGGGATTGCCCTCAAGCTGGGGGTTAGTATCCGAAGAGGGTGGAAGACAGGGTGGGTGAGGGTAGAAGGGTGACCAAAGATGCGGTCAAAAGCCATGAGAGGAGTTGAACAACGGGTTATCAAAATCTGTGCTATATCTGCAACAGCCCATATACATCACTGCATCAAGCTTCACCCATCCTCTCCTCCAACTCCAAGGAGATTGATTTCCTCAAGAACAAGAATCGAGCGAATCCGTTCAGCCGTATACACCTTTCCAACCGTCCCCCCTTCCTCATCTTTTCCTACCCATCCCTCCGCACCTTCGAACCCGTCTCCCCCTCCACTCTTACCATCACTATATTCCACATGAAGCCCACCACCTAATCCCTCAAACCCATTCCTACCCCTCTCCTTACTTCCCAGCTCCATCTCCTCACCCCTTTATTCTCAAACTTCTTTCACCTCTCCCTGTCAACTGGCACTGTTTCCATTCCCCTAAAAATGGCTGTCATCACCCCTATCCTAAAAAAAACCTTCCCTGGACCCATCCCTGCTGAGAAACTACCATCCTATGTCCAACCTCCCTTTCCTTTCCAAGATCCTTGAAGGAGTTATTGCTTCCCAGCTTCGCTCCTTTCTCTCCTGTCACCCACTTTATGAACCCCTCCAATCGTGTCTCCATGTTGCCCACAGCATGGAAACAGCCGTGGTCAAGGTGACAAATGATACTCTGTTCATCTGTGACCAGGGCTCCTTCTGTCTCCTCGTCCTCTCTGCTGCCTTCAACACTGTAGACCACTCTATCTTCCTCCACTGCTTCGCCTCTCACCTTAACCGGTTCAGATCCTATCTCTCACACCGGCTCTCGTCTCCACAAATGGCTTCTCCTCGAGTCCCAGCACCGTCTTGTGCGGTATTCCTCAGGGCTCTGTCCTTGGTCCTCTCCTCTCCAACGTGTACATGCTTCTTCTTGGTGACCATCCGTAGACATGGGGTCAACTTCCACATGTACGCGAATAATACCCAACTCTATCTCTGCCTCCACCCTCGACTCCAGGACTACTTATGTCCTGACAGACTGCCTGTCAGATATCAAGTCCTGGATGAGAGCCACTTTCTACAGTTGAACGTCAGCAAGACTGAGGCTCTCCTGATTGGCTCGCCCCAGCGCCTCCACAACTCAGGCACCGGCAGCACAATCCACCTCACCAAGCCAGTCAGGAACCTAGACATCTTGTTCAACCCTCAACTGTCCTTTCTCCCCCACATCCGTGCCATGACTTGCTCTACCTTCCCCCACCTCCGCAACATTGCCCGACTCCGCCACTGTCTCACTCCTCAGACCGCTGAAACCCTCATACATGCCTTCATTACATCCAGGTTTGACTATGCCAATGCCCTGCTTCTCCACCTTCCCATCTCTTCCCTCCACAAGCTGTAGATCATCCAGAACTCTGCAGCTCATGTCCTCTCCCGCACCAGGCTCCATGACCCCATCACACCCACCCTCGCCCGGCTCCACTGGCTTTCCATCCCTCAGAGGATCGAGTTCAAAATCCTTGTCTTCACCTTCAAGGCCCTCCATGGCCTTGCCCCCTCCTACCTCTCCCGATATGCTAACCCCTTATCAAACTGTCAGCTCCCTCCGCTCAGCATGCTCCAGCCTGCTCCATGTCCCCCGCCCGGCCTGCCCCACCATTAGCCATCGGGTCATTAGCCATCGGGCCTTCGGTCTCTCTGCCCCCACGCTCTGGAACTCCAACCCATATTTCCTTCACTTTGCTCCCTTCCTTGCCTCCTTCAACACACGCCTCAAGTTCCTCTTCGACTGTGTCTTCGGTCACCCTCCTTCCCTCTCTGCGCTCCACCCTCCCTGATCCCAACCCCCCACCCACACCCCGCTCAGGTCCTAATCCCTGACTGTTCTGCGCCTTGGGATGTCCTCCCGACCTGAAAGGCGCTTTACAAATGTAATTTTGCAATGTATTTAGACAAGCGAGATCAATCCTGTGATCAACCTGCCAAACTAGTAAATAATTAGCTGAAGTAAAGCTCACCCAAGATTTCAACAGCAGTGCCGCACTACACAGTTCGTTAGCAATTGTTTTATTCAGGGTTTTAAAAGGGAAACCAGACAGCTGGGGAGTGTTGCTACATGCTGAAAGAGCTATTCATTTAGATCGAAATAAACTTCTCAATTACAAAACTGCGTATTCTAAAAAGGAATACTACGCCGAATTCAAATGGCAGCCATCATTAAAACACTGTTTGTGAAGGACTTTAGAGAGAGAGAGGAGAGAGAGCGAGAGATCTTCTCTGCTCCTTACAGTGAATCTTGGGTTCTTTGTACACCGATTTATTTAAAACCTCAAACGACACGGAGGCCTGAAGGAGATTCAGAAACCGCTGAATCTAGAATCCTGCAATTTCGATCATCATCCAAATCCCAGAGGGTTTGCCATGCTACACATTCCTGATAATTGCAACAATTCAGTTCATTCAATTTTTAGCACTGTCAGCACCTTCAATTTTATTTCCATTGTAATTTCTTTTCCACCTCAAAAACCACAAGCCTTGACGCGATTGGAGACAGCTGAAAAAGCCATTAGTTTCCAATCCGCAAGTGACCTGTGGCAATTGCTAAGGAATACCATTTACACTGTTATTTCCTGCTAAGTGAATAACCAGTTTTATGAAAACATATTATGGCCTGGACTACAAGGCTATTTAATTCTAACATTTAAGATTACGCAGAAATATTTTTAAAATTCTTAAATTCAGCCGTAATTCGGAAGCCAGATTTGCACAGCTGTTAAAAAAATGTAGGAAGTTGCCTTAAATCTTAAGGCCAAGACTAGGTGATCTTTTAGGCTTCCAGCACATCACACAATGATACTGGTTACCTCACGTTAAATGGGACATGGAATTTCCTCCCACTGGTACAAAATCTCAGAAAGATGCTTGACACTCACTGGCCATTAACAATAAACATTCCCATCAGCCTTAAAAATGAAAAAAGGGCCATGTGCTTGCTTTCTAGATCAGATAGTACACACTACAAGGTTATTTAATTCTAACATTTAAGATTACGCAAAAATATTTTTTAAAATCTTAAATTCAGTCTTCATTTGGAAGTCAGATTTGCATAGTTCAGTTACCAGGCTGAAAGCTCAGCTGGTGAGCTCAATCACTGCCTTGGGAGAAGCCTGTCTACCCACCCAAGAAGTTGTGGTCTAGTAAGAAAAAAATGGACTACCAACTGGAGGGAGAGGGAATTTTTTTGGGGGGTGTTTAAAAGTGTCTAACACTTGCAGAAACCCATCATTGTGCTTAAGAGTATCCATACCAGACAACATAATAATAATAATGATCCTTGCATTTGATATTGCGCGTTTCATGTCTTCTAGATGTCTCAAAGCGCTTCACAGAATATACTGTAAAGTGAATTGATTGTATATTTGTGGGCAACATCCCACATATATGTCACCTAACATGGGAATTTTCAATGTGTCTGAAATGAAATGCTCACTCTCTCCCTGAGGGACACAACCATAAAATTACATTTGTATAGCGCCTTTCACGTCGAAAGAACATTCCAAGGCGCTGGACAATCAGTGTTTCGGACACCTTATTTACCCAATTCCTGGGTATTTAAGCACACACCAGCAGGAGCAGAGGCTTGCGGACCCAGATTGTGAGTTGGGATACTGCAGGAGTTAACCAGCAAAACATTGTTATTGAAATCACTGTCTGCAAGCTTCCTGCTGTTTGTTCAGCTAGGACCACTGTACCAGTTAGGGGTCTGGTTCATAGGAGTTGAGTGGGGAGAATCCCTGCTCTCAGTGACCAAACTGCCCCTCCAAATCCTGCTAACGAACCAGGCTGGCTAATCTGTTATCACCAGTGCCTCGGAGTACTGCAGACCCACCTGGCCTAGGAACCATCACTTCAAGTTTGAGCCCTCACTTGATTGGAATGCGAAACGGGGAAATATTCTGAGTAAGTTAAATAAATAAAAATACATCAATTTGTAATTTCAAAGTTACATTCAAAAGATAAATTAATCTAAAGAAAAGCACTGTAGGATTGTACCTTGTTATAACATGGTGGTTTCCTAAATTATAATCTGGCCACAGGGTTAACCCTTCCAAATAATAAAAGGCCGGCAACCACTCTCTCATGAGACACCTGGGAGGCCTTCTGTGCCTGTATCCGATCCACAGGAAGCCAGCCCATCAATACCAGAAGTGTAAAGCATTTACTAGCAGTAAGTAGGAACCCAGTTGTTAGTCGATTTCCGGGGATATCAAACCCCCCTCTCCCACACCTCCCATCAAAAAAACAAATGGTCACTCAGTTCACAACTGTTCGTAGGAAACTGCTGGGTGCAATTGGCTGCTGCGTATCGCCCACAAAATTCTTTACATTGCTCAGACATTATCCTACATGAAGGTTGCTCTATAAATGCAAGTTATTGCTGGCAATTAAATATAATTGTCTGCATTCTCTCCTCCCTGCCCCCGCAGTAAAAGATAGCAACATAGAACTATGAAACATCTCTTTAATAAAATTTGCTCTGGATGCTGTAGCACATTGAGCAAAAAATTAATTCAAGGGAAAATTTGAATAGGAACAAAATCTTAACACTGCACAAGAGTCCAAGATGAGGCCTTTTATGTAGCCCAGGCATAAAGAGATTGCACAGCTTTGTGATCCAGAACTCCTAAAAAACGCTGCCAGCAATTTCACTCAGTGAGCAATCAACGCATCTTAATCTTGAAGCGTGTGGAGGAGAAATGAGTCACAAAATGATCGTAATGATTTGAGGTCTCTAATAATATGAAAAATGAGAAATCGATGGTGCACTCTTGAAATTTTATGATGTGCTCCTTTTGATTTGCGCACAGTCAAAAATGTAACTTACTTCTAACTATATATAAAAAAAATTACTTTGTCTAGCGCCTTTCATGTCAGGACACCCCAAGGCACTGGACAATCAGTGTTTCGGACCCGAGCTGGGGGTCGGGATCGGGGAGAGTGGGGAAAGGAGGGTAATTAAGGTCCATGGTCGGAGAGTGAGGCCTTGAGACGGGCCTTGAAGGAGGTAAGGGGTGAGGTGGAGGGACTGCGGTATGGAGTTCCAGAGGGTGGAGGCAGAGTGGCAGAAGGCCCACCTGTCTATGGTGGGGCGGGCGAGGCGGTGGATGTGAAGCAGGCCAGAGCCCACTGAGCAGAGGGAGCGGGCAGGTTGGCAGGGGGTTAGGAGGTTGCAGAGGTAGGGAGGAGGAAGGCCATGGAAGGTGTGGACTAGGATCTTGAACTGTATCCTCTGTGTGATGGGAAACTAGTGGAGTCAGGCAAGGATGGAGGTGATAGGGTCGCAGAGCCTTGTGCGGGAGAGAATACGGGCCGCAGAGTTCTGGATGATCTGCAGCCTTGGGGTGAGGAGTTGGAGAGGCCAATAAGCAGGGAGTTTGATTAGTCGAGCCTGGATGTTATGAATGCATGTTTGAGGGTCTCGGCAGCCTGTGGTGTAAGACAGTGGTGGAGCCGAGCAATGTTTCGGAGGTGGGGGAAAGCAGATCGGGTCATGGCACAGATGCAGGTATAAAGGATAGTTGAGGGTCAAAAGAGACCCCAAAGTTCTAAACTGGCTTAGTAAGGTGGAGCGTGTATCCATGGATGGTGATGCTGTCATTGCCTGAGTTATGGAGGCGCCGACAGGAGCCAATCAGGAGGGCCTCAGTCTTGTTGACGTTCAACTACAGAAAGCTCTCATCCAGGATTGGTGTCTAACAGACATTCCGCCAGGCCAGCAGTGGTCCTGGAGTTGAGGATGGAGGCAGAGAGAGAGACTTGGGTGTAATCTGTATACATGTGGAAGTTGATCCCATAATAATAATTTGGTCATTCAATACACAACTGTTTATGGGACACTGCCACATTTCCAACCACAAAATATACGGTCAATTCACTTTACAATATTTTCTGTGAAGCGCTTTAGACGTCTCAGGGACGTGATGAGGCGCTAAACCAAATTCAAGGATTATTATTAATTCAACTTTGTCACAAAGACAGAAGTCAAAATTTGTCCAGTTTGAAACTTGAACCATAAAGCTGGCAACTGAATATGTGGTGCAAACACACAGATTCAAAAACGTTACCTTGAGTTTAAACTCCAGCTGTGGTAAAACAGAAAGTAGGAGGTGGCTATCGATTTTGTACAGCTCAAGGATCAGGTCGAAGACGTGCTCGGACAGATCACTGATCGAGGTCTTGCCCAGCATTAAAACTTGATTAAAGAACTGTTGGGAAGAAAGCACATAATTTAATACCAGATACATAGTCTGCAACAATTCTTTATAGGGTAATAAAATCATGGCAGAAAACATGACGAAAAGCAATACATTTTAGCTATAAAAAACAGACACTACACAAAAAACTCTGAAGCACTGAGATGTCCTCCTGAAGTAATAGGCCCTATAACATAAGGATTTTTTTAAAAAACCTCTATGGAAATCAATATTAAATGGGGAGACACCACCATCTTGGATAACTGAAACCAAACCAAAAGTATTTAACAGTGTTGAGTACATTTGTTAGAATTTCAAGACCCTGATGATCCCAAGTGGGTGCAACAACTTTATTCGTGTAAAAACCTTTTTTTGTGTAAAAAAAGAAAATATACATGTAAAAACCTATATTTTCTAACACATTATATAACTTGTAAATCAATTGTGCCAAAAGAGGGGTGGTGTGTGTGTGTGTGTGTGTGTGTGTTGGGTGGGGGTTGGCAAGAAAAAGAAAGAGGGAAGAAGAAGCAAAGGGGTCTTGCCAACTATTTCAACCCATTGGTGCAAACAGCAAGAAGCTATTTTGTCAGTATTTTATACATCAACAACAACAACAAAATTACATTTATAGAGCGCCTTTCACGATGGGAGGACATCCCAAAGCGCTGAACAGTCAGCTGTCGGAGCCCGAGCATGGGGGATGGGTGGTGTAGGGGTGAGGGAAGGGAGAGAGGTGGGAGGGAGACCAAAGGCACGGTCGAAGAGATGGGTCTTGAGACCGGCCTTGAAGAATGCAAGGGAGGAAGTGAGGCAAAGGGACCATGGGATGGAATTCCAGAGTGTAGGGGAAGCGAGGCTGAAAACCCGGCCACCAATGGTTGGGCAGGTCGGGTGGGAGACATGGAGCAGGCTGGAGCGTGAGGAACGGAAGGAGCGGGCAGGTTGGTAGGGAGGTCAGAAAAGTAGGAGGGGGCAAGGCTATGGATGGCCTTAAAGGTGAGGATGAGGATCTTGAACTCGATCTTCTGGGGGATGAGGAGCCAGTAGAGTAGAGTGAGGGTGGGAGTAATGGGGTCACAGAGCCTGGTGCATGAGAGTACATGAGCTGCAGAGTTTTGGATGATCTGTGGCTTGTAAAGGGAAGCGTTTGGAAGGCTGATGAGGAGGGAGTTCCCGTAATCAAGGTGACAAATGCGTGGGTGAGGGTTTCAGCAGCCTGAGGGGTGAGGCAGTAGCGGAGTCTGGCAATGTTGCGGATCACATATTAATGATCTGAAACATCTGGACTCTGAGATAGCAGAAAAGAATTAACCAATTGCTGAATTTTAAGCAGACATCATATATTGACTCCATATAGTACTCAATGGTTTACTTAACTGAACAGCTGGTATAAAGCCAGTTGTGACACAGTCTATTACAATGAGCTCAAGCAGTACCACACACAATCTCACAAAACAGTAACTGATACTGCTAATAAAAGAAAAAAAACACACATGAATAGCTTTAGAAAGCAGAACATAAAGTTTCTCAATTCAATCCCACAGCCTGTGCTGAAGATGACCGTACAAAGGGCTCGACTAGTGCCCCAACTAATTTCAATGCCCTAGTTTCTGCTCCCCATAATTGTCCAGCAACTCAGCTGGGGGTATGCTATCACATGGGGGGAGAGAAGACTGGGCTCAGCTGTGATGCTCTCACCTACAAAATATACAGTCAATTCCCTTTACAATAGATTCTGTGAAGCACTTTGAGACGTCTCAATGACGTGTTAAGGCACTCTATCAAATGCAAGGATTATTATTATAGTCCCTGCAGATGCAAGTCACGGGTCATAAATGAATAATAATGAATTTTTCCTCACTTGTTTGTGGACTTTGGCAAAGGAATAAACTTCAGAAACACTTTTCAATATTGTTCTGTATCTGGCACTGCAAATGCTTGAAACTGAAATACATTCTAATTCACCATAATAATTTTCATTTATTTTGTTCCAGAAATCCTGGTGCAAATCTGAAACACAGACCATTAACGTTTAGGCAAGAGGGCATGACATTTACCCTTTGGCTAAGATGCAAAAATCCTTGCCATTAATAGATATTTCATTAAATGCAATCTGTTTTGTTTCACTTCTCAGTGAAAATAACATGAACCACAAAAACTGTGAACTACGGTACAATGTAACTACCTGCTATGTGACATGCTACATAAATTATTGGGTCACCTCAAATAATCGGGTCTATCTTCCAACATTGGAAATTTTTAAATAGTCAAAAATCCAGAAATACTAAATAATTAGAAACATAGGAAACAAGAAAGATGAAGCTATTCAGCCGATCAAGCTTGTTCCACAAGTATGTTCCTTCTTTGTCCCTTCAAGGCACTTCTCAAGACTCTCCTCTTCGACCGGCAGGGAGGAATCTGGTGCTACCCAGGCCGACTTCATTCAGATTAGAAGGGTTGGCCTGCAGGCCTCGCTAACCCAGAGAGCTTGGTACCAAAGAACACAAGTAAGACAGTGGAGTCACAATAACCAGTACACCAATTTGTTAAGAATGAAAAGGGAAAGCTCCCAAATCTTTAAAAAAAATCAGGGCAAACTTTGAAAAGTACCTGCATTCCCATAACACCCCTACATACCTGTTCCATCCACAAAATACACAGTTAGCAATTAACTGCTTCCCTCTAGGTCTCTATGGAGGTTATTTTTAACATTTTTGACTCTTGCAGCTGTAGAACTGAGAAACGCAAATTTGCCAGGCTTATGTGTGGAACACATTTCTTATCAATGTTAATACACCTTTTTACAACATGTGGGAGCAAGAACAGCCAACTCTAAAAATAGTCTTGGAATCTACTTCGTTGGAAGAATGAAGGCTAGAGCCATCATCACAATTTTGGTTGTTGCAAAGCAATAAACCAAGAGATAATAGGAAGGGTAGGTTATAATGGGGCGTTTATAAGCAGCATTTATCCACAAGTGTTTGCGGGACACTGCTGCATGCAATTGGTTGCCATGTTTCGCCCACAAAATATAGTCAAGTAATTTTACAGTATTTTTTCTATGAAGTGCTTTTAGATATCTCAATGACATGATAAGCTGCTATATCAAATGCAAGGATTATTATTTTTTATTATTATGTGAAGAATTTAGTATTCCCCAACCCAAATTGAAAATCCAACAGTTTGAAAAAACATGTCTGTTCCTATGTAGAGGTGTTCAAAACCCCTAGATGGCGCTCTAACAAGGCTACAAATTTTGAACCTGGGAATTCATGAATTTGGGGGGGGGGGGGGGGGGGTTATGTTACCATTTGAGCACATTAATGTTTTGAGCACTTGAATTGAGAATTTAAAAAAAACAGCATTTATTATTATTTTAAATGTAGTATAGCACCTTTCACAGAGGATGTCTCACAGTGCTGAACAGGATATACTGTGTAGCAACTGTGTGTTGTGGATGAAATTCGCAAAGCAATGTCCCACAACGGCCATGAAGTGAATGACCAATTTTTGTCTGAGGGATTGTTGGCCAGGTCAGCAGGAGAAACTCCCTTTCCTTTTCAAACAGTGCAATGCAAACTAATGCCCACTTGAACTGGCAAAGGACGGGACCTCCAACAATGCAGCAAACACCCAGGACTGCACTGAAATGTCATCTTAGACTATACGAGTTCCAAACTTCTGACTCGGAGGCGAAAGTGTAACCAACTGAGTCAGGCTGACAAGAGTTTAACATTAACCCACACCTTAACTAAAATTGCTCCAATAGGCAGTCAAATAACTGTTGCATACTCTACTGGGAAGGCGAGTTCCATGCTAGGCTACTAATATTGCAGCATTGAGCTGGTTCAGTTGCCTCAGGCTTGGTTCAGAATATTGGTTTCCAAGCAAATTAATGGAACAGAATTATTGGCCAGGACATTGGGAGACACGCTCTGTTCTTTTCAAATAGCGTCTAGGACCATCAAAAAAAAAATGCAAGGATTATTATTAGTGCCTCCTGAAGGAGCATTTGAAGGATGACACTTCAGACAATGCAGTACTCCCCCATAACTACACTGCAGAGTCAGCCGAGACTGTGAGCTCAAGACTTGTATGGGGTTTGAACTTGCAACCTTCAGACCCAGAGGTACATGTGGTACCAACTGAGCCAATCAGGCATCAACACATCTCACTCTTCAATAATAATAATAATAATAATCCTTGCATTTGATATAGCGCTTTTCACGTCGGGAGGACGTCCCAAAGCGCTTCACAGAATATACTGTAAAGTGAATTGACTGTATATTTGTGGGCGAAACGCGGCAGCCAATTGCGCACAGCAATGTCCCACAAACAGTCGTAGATTGAAAATGACCAATTTATTATTGTTTTGGGTTTTGGAGGGATTATTATTAGGCGTGTGGAGTAAGGAAACTTGCCCAAGGTTTCGCCCTGCCTGGAATTGAACCCAGGTGTCTTGCTTGCAAAGCAAGTGCTCTAACCACTGAGCTACAGGACTTCAATACAGCTGAGAGATTGTTTTGTACAGAAAACATCTCCCCTCAAGCTTCATTTCTCCTTTTAAAAAACAGTATTTTCAATAGGTTTCTGAGCGTCAATTTGAATTTAACAAAAAAGTGTAAAAATGGGTTTATTGTGCAATTTCTTTCATATTTGAAAACTGAGAACCAGAGATTTGATCTTCAAGCAGTGATGAATCAGTTTAGTCAGTCTGCAACTGTATCCAGTTTCCTTTTTCCAGTCTTGCTTCATATTGATGATAGCACTGATGCAGCTTGGAGTATTTACCCTATTTTTGCAACTGAGTACAGGTTCCAGTCACTTACATCACTCAATGATCACGCCAACTACAACAAGTTGGTATTATATAGCGCCCTCCACGCCAGAGGGCGTCTCAGAGCGCTTTACAGTTTAGGATCCCAGGACCGAGCCAGGGGGAGGGGTGGGAAGGTGACCAAAGGCGCGGTCGAAAAGAAAAGAACTATATTCTTTTTTGCTCATCATTGCAG